TACAGCCTAACAAGGCATACAGAGGCCTTCCCCAGGCAACACAGCTGGAACAACCTTGCCACCATTTGACCTTTCTTATTGTACAAGAATGCAACATTTTGAACTGCACGATGCACAGACATGTCCTGCTGTATAACTGAGGTGGTCCCAAGTACAGGATTCTTGTGTGTTTTGCATCTCTTGAAACAAAAGGGTGTACACCAAGCAAAATCCACAACCCAGAAACAAAAGCTAAACCTAACAACATCCATACCTTGACTTCTCTTTGGGAAGCAAATTTGCTTTGTTCTTGAGGATGAAATGCAGGTGGGCATTTTTTCTTTCATTCTCCCTGATAGTTCTGTCATCTAAAGGAAACAAGGAACAAACTCGCCATTTGAGAGTGCTACAGAGAAAGATATCATTCACACTTTCTGCAAATTGGAAAAGGCAAAAAGGCTCCCTACAGTGACATGCAGGTAATTCACCCCTGGAAGTTATTGGGGAGATGAGAAGAATGTCTTTTATGAATGCATGATTTTCTCTTCTCTTGCTGCTGGTTTAGTGCTTCTCTCTCCCCTGTTGCTCAGGATAGTCTTCCCACAAGACCCAATCCCTTGTGCGGGCTTTCCATACGGGTTTTCTCTGCACATTTGCTAAGCTTCTAGGGGTTAGAATTTATAGGACTCCTACTTTGTGTCTTCACTTGTTCAGGTTTCTGTTTAGGTGGAAGCAGGCTGATGTCAGGGAGGCCTGCTGGTGCAGTGTGTGCATTCATCGCCTCCTTCTGTAGGAGGCTGGAACAGAGGAGTCAACAGCATGCCACTCCATGAGAAATTACAGGTCTCAAAACAGCAAGCACAACTCCCAAGGCAATTTGGCTCAACAGGAAGCCTCAAGTTAAACTGAATGGCAGATGCAAACAGCCACTTTAAGATAAGGACCCAAAAACAGCGCAGAGCTGTACATATTCTTCTTGGCTCTTATCTCACCTAGTTTTTCCAGAGCTTGTAATTTGCTCACTGTGAACAGCCGATAATCAGACACCTTCCTGGTTATTGGGTTGAGGCGAAGGTCTAGCTCTCTCAGGCGAGGCAGAGTCTGGAGGCGGGCTACCTCCAGCAAGGAGGAAACGTGGTTATAATACAAATCCAGGCACTCCAATGACTGTAAGGACTCAAGACCCTGCACAGAGAAAAAGGCAGCCACACAGTTTTCAAAGGGAATAGTGCTCTAAGCAACAAATTCAAAGGCAAGTTTCTCCTGATTCCTTCTCACTCACACAGCACAGTCTGAGTCATCTTCCCTGTCCTACTCCCAAGGGTAAAGAATAAATTTGATAATCTAGTCCTTGCTCCTGTAATTCACAGAAATGTTAATGTACCTCTTTTAAGGAGTCAACATCCACTAGGGAATTTTTTAGTGCATACACTGTCTTATAGAGTTTTAACAGTTTCAGAGTTTTAACATGACAGAAACAGTTAAACCAGCTCTTTCAGGTCCTAAGATTGTATACAGATAGGTCAAGACTCAGAATGCAGAACTCACCTCCAAGCTCACAAGCAGGTTCTTTGACAAATCTAAAGACTTGAGGTTTTTAAAAGATTTCAGACCATTTCCCAGGGAGACTATTTTGCCTGCATAAGTTCCCTGCAGTGAGAGGGAATCCACCTGTTCTGGAAAAAAACGAGGACTTGTAAATGTGTTAAAATCCTTTATGTGGTTGTGCAGCTGAACACATTTCATTAACTTTCATTTTGGCAAGGTTTATATTTTAATGAATAAATAAATCGGGGGGGGGGTGAATACAACACATGTGGCTCTTATAAGAAGAGCCCTGCTGGATCAGGTCAGTGGTCCATCTAGTCCAGCATCTTGTTTCACATAGCAGTCAACCTGTTGTGCTGGAGGTCCAACAAATAGGGCAGAGATGCTGCCTCCTAGACATTGGAATTCAGAGATTTATTGTCGCTGAAATGTGGAGGTTCATCTTCCATTACCATGGCTGGTAGCTATTGATGGAATTCTCCTCCCTGACTCTGTCCAGGCCCCCTTTTAAAGCCATCACCATCTAACAGTGAATTCCACAATTTAATCTCTCATTGGGTAAAGCAAGTATTTCCTTTTGTCTGTCTTGAATCTAATGTAATGTACTGTACAAAACTGATGTATATTATCTTAATGTTGTTTTACTGGTTTTTTTTATTTATTATTATTATTATTATGTTCTTGTTATTGTGATGCTGTAATGCCTAAGCTTTTGATTGTGAACCACCCTGAGCCCATTCGCAGGGAGGGCGGAATATAAATGTGAATAATAAACAATGTGCATCAACATCATTGCCCATCCCAAGTTGTAATATTATGGGAGAGGGAGAAAAAGTTCTCTCTATGCATTTTCTCCAACCTAGGCATAATTTTACAAACTTCTAACTTCCTTCCCTTTGCTTTTCATCTCCCCCTCCCCTTTCCATTGCTGGGAGCCACTTTGGCAGACCACCGGTTGCATGAAAAGGCGGGCACGAAACATTACTTATGACGATGCTAAATGTGGGACCCACCCTTTCAACTCCAGGCAAGGAATGGAGGTGAAGCAGAAGGGGCCTTTTCCTGAACAACCCCTGGGGAGGGTGATCCGTAGTCTTCCTCCCCAGGGGAAAGGCTCACGCACCTGCCCATATCTTGTTGCCAAGCTCCCCTCCTGGCCACCGCAAGGGGGGGAGGCGGTAGGGTTGCCAGATCCAGGTTAGGAAACCCTTGAACATTTGGGGATGAAGCTTGGGGAGGATAGGGACCTCAGTGGGACACACAGCCATAGAGTCCACCCTCCAAAGCAGCCATTTTCTCCAGGGGAACTGATCTCTATCGTCTGGAGATCAGCTGTAATTCCGGGAAATCCCCAGGTCCCACCTAGAGGTTGGCATCCCTAAGTCATCATCATTATCATCTGGGTTTGAAAACCATCCCTCAGACTTGAACCAGGCGCGAGCTAAGGCCCCTCCTAGTGACTTCTTTCTCCCCCCGGCCCGGGGGGGGGGGACACAGCCAGGCCCGAGAGGGGCCGCCCATGAGTGTATGAGTGCCACTGAGCACGTGCAGAGCGTCCCTCTCTCTCCCAGCGGCTTTTCTCTCTCTCGGCCCCGCTTCCCCCCCCCCCCAACTGCGTTCCTCCCGCCCCAGCCCCCAACCCCCGCTGGCTGTAGCCCTTGCAGGGCCGGCTGGTCCCGCACCCAGGCCTCACTCAGCTCCAGCTCCTGCGCCATCGTGCCGCGCGTTGCCAGGCAACCCGGCCCAACGTCCGCCCGAAAGGGGGAGGGGTCGGCCGCTGGGAGGCAGTTGAGCCGTTGCCCGGCCGTCCCTCCCCCTCCCCCTGGAATGCACCTTCGGCCCTCAGTTGGCCCAGCATGGTAATGGCAGCGCTGAGAGGGCTGTGGGGAAAGAAGGGCACCAGACCCGCCTCCCTTACCAGAAGCCAGAAGGGCAGAGAAGGGGGAAGGGCCAGGGGTGGGGTAGAGAGGGGTAAAAAGGTAAAGGTTCCCTTGCTCGAAAGCGAGTCCGACTCTAGGGTTGCGGGGCTCATCTCCGTTTCAAAGCCGAAGAGCCAGCGCTGTCCGAAGACGTTTCCGTGGTCATGGGGCCGGCATGACTAAACACCAAGGCGCACAGAACGCTGTTACCTTCCCACTGAAGTGGTATCTATTTATCTACTTGCAATTTCTTGCTTTCAAACTGGCAGGAGAGGGGTAGGGGACAGCAAAAAGCAAGATCCGGGTGCCTCCTCCTCAGCCAGCCCTCATCTCTAGGAGCGAAGGGGGAAAAAAAAAAAAGAGTGCCTCTGAGCATGTCGTGTGACCATCTCTAGGGTTGTGTCAGCCTCCCATTGGGGCCTGATGATCTCTTGGAATTGGGTATCCCACCAGTCTTCACAATACTAAAATGATCTGTTTAGTCACACAGTTCCGAGGCATAGACGAGCAATTATGCTTGCAAGATTAAATGCACTGCCATCTGCAAATTCTGACGGACATGTGTTATTTATTTATTTATTTAAATTTATACCCCGCCCTACCCCGAAGGCTCAGGGCGGCTTACAGGGCACAAGTGCCATTGTTTGTTTGTTCAGTTTATATCCCACCCTCCCCGCAAGCGGGCTCAGGGTGGGTGACAAGAAGAGAATTTACAGAACCATTAAAACAAATTATCACAACAAATTGCTTAAAACAATTTAAAAGATGGCAAAATTATGCATTACTTTATCATTATGATAATGTTAGGGATTCCATTCTCAGATAGATCCTGTGGTTGTGGTTTAGGGGCGATAGAACCTGTGACCCATGTTCTGTTTGAATGTCCATGGTACAATGAGGCTAGAGAGAAACCCCTTATGCAACAGTGAATGATTCTCCAACAGATATGTTAGTTACTAAATTTTTAATAGATTCTAGATTAGAAAACATTCTTCTTTTAGCTAAATTTCTTGTTCCGGCTAGAAAACTCAGGCAGCCTGTAACAGGACCTCCTCCTTTGCATAGCATGCCCTTGTTCTCTCTGACTTGAATCCTTCCTTTCTTCCTCTGACAGACACTACTCAAGACCTGTAGGTCAGGGGAGTAGCAAAAGGAAGAACGAAAGTTTGTATCCAGACTACAGAGATCAGTTCCCCTGGAGATAATGGCTGCTTTGGAGAGTGGAGAAACCCCAACCTCCACCCCCAAATCTCCAGGAATTTCCCAACCTGAAGTTGGGAACCCTACAATGGGGAGAGGATGAGACAGGCACAATCTAATTGACATTTACCAATGGGCATTGTTACTTACTATAGTGCCAGGCTAGGATCTGGGAGGCCCAGGTTCCAATCTCTCTTCTGCCAAGAAAACCGGCTGGGTGACCTTGTTCAGCCTAACTCACGTTGTAGGCCTGTTGTGAGAATAAAATGGAGGAGGAGAGAACAATGTGAGCCGCTTTGGGTCCCCGTGGGGGAGAAAAGCACGATATAAATAAATAAAATAAATACACAAGCCATGGCGCTGCTGGTCTGTCTGCTGTCTAGGCGCCAACTGTGGGCTTTCCTGGGCCCCTCCTGCTCTCCATTCTTACAAGCATCTTCTTTAATTTATCACAAACAGCCGGATTACTGTGAGGGGACAGCAAAACTGTGGGCAGCTGCTCAGGAATTGAGCCTGTATGGCCAATTTTTCTGGACAGGAGCGGAATCCAGATGTTGCAGACAGCAGGCTTCAAAAAAAGACAACTGAAAAAGAGGGGGCCTGGGCTGCTCTGTGGGAACAGAATGTGGCACTCCTCAGGTGTTGCCTGCACTGGTGCTCTGCTGGACTAAACCCACTGTAACAAGGGCTCATTGGTTGTTTTTTAAAGGGGAATCTTTGCACTACACAGCATTGACTTGATTTTTTTTTTCTTTTTCCCAATTAGGAAGAGCCAGAAATCATTACTGAATTCTTTGAGGAAGAGATTATTCATTTCAATGTTGGCGGCTGGTGTTTCTCAGTTCCTAAAAGCAAAGTGGCCCAGTTTCCCGATTCCCTGCTCTGGAAAGAGGCTTCAGCCTTGACTGAGAATGAAAACCCAAGACTGTTTATTGACCGGGATGGATACACCTTCAGACACATCCATTATTATTTGCACACGTCCAAACTGTCTTTCTCCAGCTGTGCTGAACTAAACCTCCTATACGAGCAGGCACTGTTCTTGCAGCTAATACCTCTCTTGCAGGTACCGACCTGATTTGTTGCTGCTCTCCAATAATAAGTACAAAGTATAGAGAGGTGGCTGAGTCTGGTGGAAATCCAGGGGGGCGCGTCTATGCTAAACACACAGGTGGCACAATTCAGTATCTTCTTCCCTGACCGCTGGAAAGTGAGGGCCAAGAATCTTCTGTACTGAGCTCCACAGACCAGGGTAATGGCTCAGCCAGGACCACAGACTGTCTTTCCCAGTTCGTGTGGCCAACTTTTAAGCTGCCCCTTCAAGTGCAAATATAATCTGCAGTTGGCAGATCATGTTTATCTCCATATCATGAGAAAGTTTCACCTGCTGAGCAAGCCTCTAACCATTTCCACACAGGTTATCTGCTCCAGGTTTAATGGTCTTGGGAAGTGGGTTATTTTTAACTAATTCCCCATAGCATCATAGTGCATTGATGTACTTCCTCGTATTTCCATGGCTTTTCTTCAGTCTTTCCCAAACCTGCTTTGCTCTGAATTTTGGGCTACCCAAATGGCGGCCATTTTCCCCACTTGGCAACTCACCATACATGTTAAAAGTTAAATGGACAGCTCTGTTCTCATCCAGAGGTCCTACTTGGAGCCATTATATCAGGAGCAAAGGAGCACCCCCCTAAGGTGATTTGCCCTACCTAACTGGCAGATATATTATTATGCGGCCTCTATGGAATGGATTAAGGACTGGGCCAAATTAGAAGATAACAGACTACTAGCACTGGAAGGAGCAGACCTGGTAATGGGATGGCATGCATACCTATGGTATGGCAAAGATAAAATCCACTCCAATTTCCATACACATGCAATCAGAAGTGCACTCATCAAAGTTTGGAATGTTATTAAGAAAAACAATTATAATAAGATACCACTGTGGGTCTCACCGGTGGAGGCATTTACAAAACCCTCTCTATTATTAGGTAGAAGGAAAGAGACCTATGCAAACCTTTTAACAAAAGAGACGGAACTAAAATGGGAAGAAACACTATCAAATCATAAATTTGAGCTGCCATGGTGGGAAAAGAACATAATAAAAACAAGATTCAGTGAAGATTAAAAAATAGGATTTTACAAGACACAAACTGAACTAGACAAAATTTGGCTCTCATCGAGCGATAAACTAATTTTAAAAATGTATAGAAAATTTCTTGAAGACATCGGAGTTGAGGAGGAAACAAAAAATCCCCAAGCAATGTGGGAGAAGGAACTGGGACATACTATAGATCCGAACAGTTGGCTTAAAGTTTAGAAATCACTTAAATACTTAAGGGCAGTATCATACAAAGAAAATATTTATAAAATGTATTATAGGTGGCATTGGACACTGTATAAAATTGCTAGATGTTTTCCGGGTGCTACAAATAGATGTTGGAGATGTAAGAAGAATGTAGAGACGTTTATCCATATCTGGTGGAGATGCAACAAGATTCAGAGTTTCTGGAAAAAAGTCCAGGGCATAATAATAAAAATGTTAAAGACTAAATTACCGCTACTACCAGAAATATATCTTCTAAATATGATTCCGGATACAGTAAAAAGACATAAGCAGATAATAATATATTAACCTCGGCAAGAATCTTGATAGCAAAACGGTGGAAATCTAATAACTTACCTTCCATAAAGGAATTAAAGTATAAGGTGTTGGAAATAGCGGAAATGGACAGAGTGAATATAGAGTTACAAAATAAGTCAGAAGAAAATTTCTGGGAAAGATGGGGAGTAATATACAACTGGCTGAAGATAAAGAAGATAGAAATAAATTAAGCTAGTCATAATAGAATAAGGTTAGAGATTAAAGCGATAGTTAAATTGTATAAGACTAGGAATGAACACTAGGCATAGGAGAATTATTTGTTGTTAAAATATATTAATGTGGAGTTTGTAAATTTGTGTTATTATATCTTAATGGAAAAACCAATAAAAACAATGTTAAAAAAAAAGGAGCACCCCCCTAAGGTCCTATGTTTCCTCCTTTCCCTCCTTCCCCTGTCACATAAGAGTTCCCTTTTCTACTTCCTGGTATTTGCTAACCATAATTTCTGATTTGACAAATCATGGTTAGTTAATGTTTCCAAATCACAGTGCAACCCCGGCTTGCAAGCCATGGTTTAGAGGTTAGTGCTAACCATAGCTTGACAGTTCCTCTTCACATATTACAGAGTATACAGGTTGGCTCTGGCGTGTGGGACTTAACACAATCATATGTGAGTTGTGGGTTTTCCTCCATTCCCACATGTTAATGACTGATTATGATAGTCTTGTCAACTTCCAGATGGTAGCTGAAGGTCTCCTGGAATTACAGCTGATCTCCAGGCGACAGTGATCCCCCCCCAAATATCCAAATATTTCCCAACCAGGAGCTGGCAACCTTTATTAGGATCAAGAGTTCCAACAGTTCAAGCACAACGGCTTTGGACTCAGAATATTCATTAGTTCTTTGATTACCAATATTTTATTTACTTGCTGTGTAGGATACCTCTTTTTTCAGCGATTCTGTGTTGTATTAGTAGGACCAAAGCACTGTCAAAACAGCATATATTTCATAGTTCTGTTCAGAAAGTTATATGTGCTAAAGAAACTTTTATCTCTTCTAACAGACTTTAGACAATTTGAAGGAAGGAAAACACAACCTGCGCATCCGACCTGCTGATATACCAATAGCTGAAAGAGCATCTATGAATTACTGGAGAACACGGAAATGTATAAGCAAGCCACCTGAATTTCCTCTGAAAAGTCCAGCATTTACTGGTAAATGTATTGTAAGCAACTACCTATGCTCAGGGTTAAAATTGCAAATCCTCCGGGAGCTCATTCCGCCAGGTAGGGGCCGCCACTGAAAAGGATCTGGCCCTGGTCGCAGCAAGCTTTGCCTCCCGGGGGCCTGGAATCACCAGGCGGTGTTGTGTCCCTGACCGAAGTGCTCTTGGGGGGATATGTGGGGAAAGGCGGTCCCTCAGGTAAGTCGGACCCTGGCTATGTAGGGCTTTAAAGGTAAGTACCAGCACTTTGAAGCGGATTCGGTATGCTATTGGCAGCTAGTGAAGCGCTTTCAGCCCAGGCCGGATGTGCTCCCACTTGGGGAGACCCATCAGCAGCCTGGCCGCTTCGTTCTGCACTAGCTGCAGCTTCTGGATCTGCGACAAAGGCAGCCCCATGTAGAGAGCGTTACAGTAGTCTAACCTTGAGGTGACTGTCGCATGAATCACTGTAGCCGGGTCATCGCGGTTGAGGAAGGGAACCGACTGCCGAACCTGCCTAAGATGGTAAAATGCAGATCTGGCAATGGCTGCCACCTGGGCCTCCATGGTTAGGGAGGGATCCAGGAGCACTCCCAAACTCCTAACCTCCGACACCAGCACCAACAGTGCCCCATCGAAGGTCAGGAGAGGGATCCCCAACCCCAAACCCTACGGGGATTTAAATATTTAAATAAATATATATATATATACAGAAATGAATGGTAGGATGAAATGTGGGCATCTTGAAAAGGGCTCCCACTGCAGACCTTTACCAGTTGAGTGATGTTCTCCCTGCAACCAATGCAAAGAAAGTATCTTTCAGAGCTCTATCAGAGTAATCCTACCCCACAGTTAACTGTTGGCACAGATAACCCCATAACATGCAATCCAGATTTCTAGTCATCACTCAGAGAGACAGGTTTCATGCTAACATTTTCTCTTTCTTCCTGTTAGGCTTACATGAGAAAGCTCCTCTTGGACTAATGGACACTCCATTACTAGACACTGAAGAAGAAGTGCATTACTGTTTTCTGCCACTCAGCTTGGTTGAAAAATACCCTTCCCTGGTTAATGATGACAATTTACTGTGGCTGTCTGACAATTCCGTTCTGATAGAATGTGAAGGCAGTGAGTTCCGCTTCATAGGTAAACTTTCCCTTGGGAAAGCTCATGGGATGTTGAAGAATGCAGAATGCAGTGAAATAAGACACACTGTAACCATGTTTCCCCCCCTCTCACTTTTAAATCATGGTATTCTTACTGTGATGACCTAGATGGCACAGGCTAGCCCAATCTTGTTAAATCCCAATAGCTTAAGCAGGTCTGGCCCTGGTTTGTGTTCGTATGGGAGACCATCAAAGAAGTCCAGGGCTGGTACTCAGAGACAGGCAATGGCAAACTGCTGCTGTTCATCTCTTGCCTTGAAAACCCCATGACGACTTGGCAGCACTTTCCATCAATCTTGCTATACATCCTTAGCCAGCATAAGCAGTCTTGAAATTGTTAAGGTCTCAGGCACTCAGATGTCTGAAGGGATGGATTCAGTGGGATATGTTGGAGCAGGTCTGGTTTAGCATGCATGAATAGCCTTGCTTGGCCAGACCAAGGGTCTGTGTAGTGCCACAGATTCTTCTTGACAATGGTCAACCAGGGGCTCCAGTGAAGGTTGCACCAAAATTTGATGGAGATTGGGGTCTGTCCCCTGCTGTTGGCTCCAAGCTGCGGGTAACAAGAGATCTGCAGATGCTACCTCTGAATGTGGAGTTAATTTATTCAGCTTTCAACTTTCACTGCAAGGTCATTTCAAGAGTGGTGTAACATATGTTGGTCTAGAAAGCATAGCTGTAGAACTGATGTGATCTGGCCAGAGGGTCAGGTGCACAGAGGCAGTCAAAAGAGGAGGCACTAAAGTCCAGTGGTACTATGCTTAGTCTGAGCATGAACAACAGGTCGGAGTGAGCTGAGGCATCAGCTGGGTCCATGGCATAGCCAATGGGAGGTGCTGCAAAGCTATGGCATGTGTTTGTTAGCATAAGGGCCAAGGGTGTCACAGCAGAAATTGAGCTTTGGCAAAACAATCCTCTGGATCTCAATATTTCCAATTTACTTGAAGTATCCATATTTTCAAACATATACTTCAGATCTAAAACCATTAAAAATATAGCATTAAAGAAATAAAAGGCAGAAAGTGTGCATTGCATGTGTGAATTAGGGGTGGGAATTAGGTTTTGAGGAAGAACAATTCTAGTGCATGGACCAAACAAACATCCTACGGAAGCTAGAGCTGAACTTTGGAGTAACAGGCAAGAATACCATTGTATCACTGCCACCAAAAACTCCAAGATACTCTACACCTCCTGCTTTAGGAGAACCATTATATCTCACCAGATGTAAAGTGGATAATGTGGAGACGTTTAATGGGAAATTGTCTGATGTATCATGCTCAAGAGTCAACTATGTGATTAGTATATGCATTGAAATCCAGTTACAATAGAACATGCAGCCATGTTTAATTAACACATTAACTTTCCATGGAAAGAAACCTCAGAGAGTTTCTACTTAACTTCTTGAGACCCTGCTGTTTGAGTAAACAGGACTACCACCACCTGCTGCCGTCCCAGTCTTAAATTCTCAGGATTGAGAAAGATTGTTGCTTATTAAGAACAAAGATAGTCCATCTGTCCTGTCTTCTGTTATTATTTGCTGGTTGTACTATGTGGCACTAGGAATCATCATATTTGCCTTTATTGTTATTCATATTTACCATGGTTGCTTTACATAATTTCTATGGGATTTTCAGGGTATAGAGTGCTTTATGGTTTGCAGCCCATGCCTTCCCAGCAGTTTCTACTGAGCCATGTAACTTTTCTGTTGCAAGTGTATGTCTAGGAATCTCTATAGTAGTTTTCCCCCCCACTGAAACTGGGATCAGTATATTAACATTAAATAAAATGGCAGGAACCACAATATCTTGTTAGCTGGCTTGAGAGCCAGCATGGTGTGGTGGTTAAGAGCGGTGGATTCTAATCTGGAGAACCAGGTTTGATTTCCCAGTTCTCCTCCACATGAAGCCTGCTGGGTGACCTTGGGGCAGTCGCTGTTCTCTCAGAACTCTCTCAGCCCCACCTACCTCACAAGGTGACTGTTGTGGAGAGAGGAAGGGAAGGTCTGGGACCAGCATATCTTTGGGACCGTCTCTCTTGGCATACCCCCCAAAGAGCATTATGCTCTAGTGACAACAACTTACTGGTGATCCCTGGCCCAAAGAGTGTCTCGTTGTCCTCAACCAGAACCAGGGCTTTTTTGGCCCTGGCTCCGACCTGGTAGAATGCTCTGCCATCTGATATCTGGGCCCTGCAGGATCTGATACAGTTCCACAGGGCTTGCAAGACAGAGCTGTTCACCCAGGTCTAAGGCTGAGTGTTGTGATGGTTGTCTGCTCTGAATTGGCCTCCCCTCCCCTCCCCCCTCCTTCCTTATTTTCTTCCTTTCCCCTTCCTCACCTTTCCTTTTCTTCCCCCATCTCCTTATCAGATTGATCTTAGAATATTTATTGCTCGCCTGGAGTAAGGAGCACCAGGTGTGCCCTTTATACACCATCTACTATTGAAAACAGAATCAGCCAATATCATAATGCCCCTATATAAATCAATGGTGCGACCTCATTTGGAATACTGTGTGCAGTTCTGGTCACCACACCTTAAAAACGATATTATAGCTTTGGAAAAAGTGCAGAAAAGGGCAACTCGAATGATAAAAGGGTTGGAACACTTTCCCTATGAGGAAAGGTTAAAGCACTTCGGGCTCTTTAGCTTGGAGAAACGACGACTGAGGGGTGACATGATTGAGGTTTACAAGGTTATGCATGGGATAGAGCAGGTAGAGAAAGAGGTACTTTTCTCCCTTTCTCACAATACAAGAGCTCGTGGGCACTCAATGAAATTGCTGAGCGGTTGGGTTAGAACGGATAAAAGGAAGTACTTCTTCACCCGAAGAGTGATTAACACATGGAATTCACTGCCACAGGAAGTGGTGGTGGCTACAAGCATGGACAGCTTCAAAAGGGAATTAGATAAGCGTATGGAGCAGAGGTCCATCAGTGGCTATTAGCCACAAGGTATAGAAGATAGGGACTCTGGGCCAAGTGATGCTCTGTCGGTGCTTGGGGGGGGGGCAAAAGTGGGAGGGCTTCTAGTGTCCTGGCCCCACTGGTGGACCTCCTGATGGCATCTGGTATTTTTGGCCACTGTGTGACAGAGTGTTGGACTGGATGGGCCTTTGGCCTTATGTTCTTATGTACTAGTTGCTGCTGTATTGTAGAATTGTTAATTTTTACTATGGATTGTTATTATCAATGTTGTGACCTGCCCTGATCCTTGCTGTGCAGGGGAGGGAGGGCTATAAATTGAATAAATAAATAAAATAAATAAATAAATAAGGTGATTGTACGCTGCTTTGAAACTCCTCAGGGTAGAGAAAAGTGGAGTATAAAAACCAACTCTTCTTCTTTGTTTCATTATAGTAATTTCTCTCTCTCTGTCTTGTTTAACATCCCCCCCCCAGCTAATTTTCTACGTTCAGGGAAGATTTTTTTGCCTGACAACTTCTCAAACATGGATGTGCTGGAAGCTGAAGCTGAAGTATTGGGGATCCCTGAGCTTATGGAAGCAATGAAGATCTTTAGGAGTCAGCCTGGTGCCGTTCTTTTGACATTTTCAGCGTAAACCACCTTTCCAAGTGAAAAAGGGATCTCTTTGGGCCAAGTGACATGATACGCCTGACATGCTGAGTCATGGGTGTATGACCAGACTTACAGTCAGACACAAACTGGGGGGACTCCACTAAAAAGTGCTCAGCCAGTCGGCCCCACAAAAGAGCACTGTGAGAGGGGAGAAGGAACTTCCAGTGTCCATCCCGCCCCACTGCTGCCAGTGAAAAAATGCAGCACGGGGCAGGAGGGGGTCGCCCCTTTTCTGATCAGAATTCTTTATTGTTTGTTGTTGATGATTCATCCATGCTTTTGTCTTCCAGAGACCCACCCAGAGGGAACACCTGGTCTGCAAGGCTTTGTGAAACGTACAGTACATAAGCAGCCAAAAGCAGCCAGCCTCCCCTTGTATCCAATGGTGCTCGGTCTCTTAGTCAAATATCCTGATTCAGCTTTGGGGCAGCTCCATATGGAGAACACCCTGGATGGGAACAAGCTCTACATATCAGGAAATGGAGTTCTCTTTCAACATGTCATGTACGTCTGTATGATTTGCAGATTAGGTTGCACTGATTTTAAGGAAGAGTACTCTTTGGATATTAGCCCATCCTCCCCATCCCTCTCAGATGTTGGTCAGACACAACATTTAATAAAGCCAAGAGAGAAAAGTCTTTCCAGTAATCTTGTAATGAGCAAAAACACAGAATGTGATCCTTGTTATGTTTGACCGAAGAACTTAGGTGAACATGGAATAAACAAAATGTTGGACTCAGTACACACATCTTCTCTCAAGGCTGTCCCTCTCTTTCAGCAAATGTAGAGTCCCTTCTAATGTCCCCTCTAATTTCCCCCCTACTGAGTGGAACAGTTCACATCCTGCATAGAATATAACTGCTGTAATCTTAACATGGGCAATGGGCAGTGCAAGACCCTGTGCAGCACCTGCTGAGCAAGGCTTCCTGTGTTCATGAGCGGCTGCTCATGCGCACAGCTTAGAAGGAACACTAGTCCCAGCTCCTGATGGTCAGATCTGGCTTCTACCATGAGAACATAAGAGAACATAAGAGAAGCCAATGTTGGATCAGGCCAATGGCCCATCTAGTCCAACACTCTGTCACACAGTGGCCAAAAATACCAGGTACCATCAGGAGGTCCAGCAGTGAGGCCAGGACACTAGAAGCCCTCCCACTGTTGCTCCCCCCCAAGCAAGTCATACAGTACCAAGGCCTGACCTGGGGATTTTAATAAGGTTGCCTGTCCTTGCCACAGGGCCTTGTCAGCTACTGTGCCAATGGCTTTGCTCCTTATTTTCTCGTTCCTCTTTGCAGTCTCTGTGCATTGTGCTGAAGAGCTCTGTGCCTGTGTGCAGCTTCGATTTGGAAGCCTCTTGATCTAGCTTTTAGGCACAAAAATTCTTTAGCACATCCAGGCAAAGAGAAGTGTAGAATGATCACTAGCCTTAAAAAAAACCCTGAAGATAAGAACAGAAAAGTGACTGGCAGTGCCATCCGAAGCAGAGTGAAGCCCACTCTTAGGATTGTGCTGTCAGTGATTTATCAAGCAGATGATCACGGGGAATAAAAGGGGAGAGCAGCGAGAGTAAGAGATGTCAGTAAAAAAGACAGAAGAGTGTGAAATGTACAAGTTGGTCTCAGCAGAGGCAAAGCATACAACAAACTGGTACAGTCTGTCTTGGCGTTCATCTGCTGGTGCAGCTTTTCTAAGGATCAAGAATTATGTCCAAACGGAACAGTTTGTCACATTAAATAAAATCTAGACCTGCTTTATAGGACTGGCACCTCAGTCTTGTGAAACTTCAAGAGCTGCATGAATGGAAAAGAAGTGGCTGCAGCTAAATTTATTTATTTATACCCTCCCTTTCTTCCCAGTGGGGAACCAAAGGGGCTTACATATATTACCCTTTCCTCCATTTTATCCTAACTGAGAGGTAGGTTAGACCGAGAATGTGTGATGGCCCAAATTTACTTGGCAAGCTTCCATGGCATGAGTTGGGATTCAAACATGGGTCACCCTGGTCCTAATCCAACACTCCAATCACTACATCACACTGACTGGCAAGCATAAGAGAGGGTGCTTCTAGTAAGAACACTGGGGACTGCCTTGACCTCTGTGCCATTGTTGGCCCTCCAGAGGAACTGACTAGCCCCCTGTGTGAGACAATATTCTGGACTAGATGGACCAGTGGTCTCATCCGGCAAGGCTCTTCTTAGAAACAGTCCCTGTATAGCTTAGACAGTAAGAAAGGGTGCTTTCAGAAGGAATATGTAATCAATATATGGAGTAGTTGATTTATTGGAAATTCTTTTCTCTTTGTGTGCAAAGGAACTGGTTAGGTACTTCCAAGCTCCCTCTGACACGAAGTATGTCCGAGCTCGTTGAGCTCTGCTCCTATTTGGATCAAATGGACATCACTTATCAGCCCATGAAGGATGCTTTGAAAACATATCTAAAACAAAAGATACCTACAGACACTGTGGGGAAAGGTAAGCCAGTTGCTCTGAGCCTTTCCTTGACTTTTAAGGGTATGAGCTCTATGACATGAGTCATGAACGATACTGAATAGTGACTGCCACCTTCCACAAAAGGGATGAGTAAGGACCTGTCAGTTTGAATCAGGGGCTGTTACAAACTACTATTTGTTCCCAACTGGTGTATTGGTACAGAAGTTCCTAGTGACTGTGTAAGGAATACCATTGCAGATCTAGATAATAAGAGATTATGTTCAGAATCACTTACTGCGGAATTCCACAGGAATATGGAAAGTACTTACGGGACTACAGAGAGACACATTCTCCTTCTTCTGCATTCTTGCACTTAATAAACTGGCAGCTACTAAACTCCGTTGGAATGCATAATACAAACCTTTAATTTAGAATGGTTGATTTTCCACTCTTAAAATATTTGCAAGAATATGCCAGTGCACACACAAACATACTCTCACTCCCCACCCCCAGCCAAAGGGGTTTCTTAAAGTAAATTTGGTCATTTACAGGAAAAGACCTTTCATAAACTTCTGTATTTATCCATAATATCTGAAGTGGAGGCTTTGTCATGCTTTCCCCATAGTCATATGCAGAAGCTCCAAGCTAGCTTGCGTATCTAATTGTAGAAGAGACTTGCTCTGACCTGAATGGGCTCAGCTCGCTTGATCTCATCAGATCTAGGAAACTAAGCAAGGTCAACCCTGGTTAGTACTTGGATGGGAGACCTTCAAGGAAGTGCAGAGGCAGGCAATGGCATACCACCTCTGAATGTCTTTTGCCTTGAAAACCCCAAAGGGTTGCTATAAGTTAGCTGCTTCTTAATGGCACCTTTCACCACCACCAAGAAGCACAGAAAAAACAAAGGATCTCAGGTCATTAAAAACTGCCACATGGTATTCTGTTTTGTTGGGGAAAGGTTATGTACAACAAGAAACATGCAGATGCAGCCTGCCAAGAATCCACTTGGCAGGGACTGCATCTCTGTTTTGCTTACACAACTTACTGTGGATTCAGCTTGTATAAATTTGCAGATTTTTAGCTGAACCTGCTGCCACTGTACTTTAAACTTCAGCCTGGGTTGAATGTTGGCCTGGCATTGCAAATGTCACTTTCCCCAGCATTTATAATAGTGGTTCCAAAGGGTTGCATTTTTCAGCATGTGGTGCTGGCATGTACACAAACGTGTACTGCTCTCAAGCCTTTCATGGATGGAATTCTTCATGGACAGATTGAACATTGGTGATTATCAGGACCTCAGTCCTAAGACTGATAATGAAAAGGCCAAATGTGAAAGGAGAGGAGAGGCATGAGCAGGGAGTGGTGGTGCAAGTCTACAACTTCTCTGTTGCTCCTTGTGTGGGCAAAAGCATTGTCCAAGAAATTCCAGCAGCATGAAGTTCTTTGGATAAGGCTGTTGACCGTACTCCTCCGTTCTGGCCCATGAACCCACAGCTCTGTGTTGTCAAAGCTTTAATGCATGTCACATTCTGTTCTGTACAATTTGGAATTGTGTCTTGTAGATGCAGACTGGACAGCAGAAATTGAGGTCTTTTCACTCCATCATATTGTCAAAGTGTATGTGGGAAGCCATTGGTATGCAACATACTTGCAAACATTATTGAAGGTACAGTTCTTCAGTAAGTTCACAGAATCTTTTTGTAGCTTGCCTCATGGCATTAACTTCATGGTCTGTTCACTTCTTTAGAATAATATAGTTCCGCACATCAAAAAAGTATTTTGCTCCAAAAACTGGCATATTGCGGAGAAGCACTCTACTCAGTTTGCAGGGATTTTTTTTTTTTTTTTGGTTTTTGGTGGTGTTGTTCGATGAAGGGAGGTTTCACTTTTGGAAGTCCATACCCTGAAACTCTAGTTGGTCTCTGAGGTGCTAATGGATTCGAATCTAGTTCTTTTACTGCAGACCAACAAAACCACCCTCTGAAACTCATTTAGTTTATGTGAGAGACAATCGAATACCCCTCTCCTACTGTGCATTCAAGGGAGCATTTGAAGTTGCCTTATCCTGGATCAGGCATTGATCCTTATAGCTTTCTTTATAGCCCTTGTTGCCTAAATGAATTCAAGGGCATCTGTGTAAAAAAAATACAGTTTGGTCTGATAAATGCTTATTGATCACTCCCTGGATGCTCAGAGGTTAACCTAAAATCAAAAGGGTTTTTGCTATTTGCTTGAGGACACTCTAGCTCTAACTTTGATGGCCACACAGGTGCTTTTTGGACCTAAATTGGAAGATGTTCTAATTCAGCAACTGTGCATTTGGCACCAGACACATGACTTTCACCTTTTGAGGCCTCACAAACATCTTTGTCATGTGTCTTTAGATCTTGCTGCTTAACCTTCCTCTTCCTGGTCGAATATTCACTTATTGGTTATCTTATTGCAATATGTATTTAAGTTATGTGTACCTCAATATTGTTTGACCTCTGAAGAAGGCCCCAATAGGGCAGAAACACATCAGGCCATGTGTATTGGCCCTTGTGTTTAGGCTATACTTTCTTACGAGGCTTTCATTGGGCCCTTATGTATGTTTTTAACTGTCTTTCTAATAAATACTTGTATTTTTGTATATTATAAGTTTTAACTAGGTTTTTAATATTGGCCCTTCATTAGACTTTCTTCTCACCCTTTTGGTTCTTAATTCCAGTTTCGGGGTCAGGTTTGTTTTTCCCTCCCTGTGTATTACTAACCTAAAACCACCCAGGGCTGGTCCGTCATAGACAATTTTTAGGCAGCGGCCTAGAGAGGCCCCTTAAGAGGGGGCGCACCCGGCCTGCCACCCCTCCCGGATCACCCTGCAAGCTGCGCTGTGCTGTAAGTTAGTCCAAACTTCTCCGGGGCCAAAGCGCGGCCACAATCCTGCCCTCCCCCAGCCGGCGATTGGGGGCCACCAGCACCCCCCCTTCACCCGCCCTTTGCCTCCTTCACCCCCCTTTCCCCGATTAGCAAACCAAGCATTGCGGAACTTTTAAGCTTCCTCCTGCCGCTGCTGCTGCAAGAAGCGCTCCTCAGTGCCTGTTTACTCGGAAGGAGCGAGCCCTGCTGACGTCAATGAGACTGGCTCCAAAGGTGAAGCAGCAGGTCGGATATTTTATTTCGGGTGGTGGTCATGGATTGCAGCCTGCCTTGGAGAGGGGTCCGCGGGCCCTGGGGACTCTGGCAAGCCGCACACTCTGGAGCAGAAAAGAGCCTGGGAAGGACACACACACCCCGGCAAAGCAAGGCGGCGGCTGGGAGTTTGGCCTGTTTCGCCAGCGACAGAGTACCCGATCCAAAACGGGGGCTTGCAGGACTTACTCAGGAATAAACCCAGTTGAGCGCAGGGGGACTTACTTCCGAGCAAGTCTCCATAGAGACTCAGGCTGAAATGATCTCCCCCCCACCTCAACGTTTCTAAGCAAAGCTCTCATTCATTTGTGAGGCCTTTTTAACCACCTTGAAGGACAGGCAAAAGGTTGCAGATTGACTTTTTAAAAAATCTGGCCTTTAGTGTGCCATGCTTGCAGGATATGTCTGTGCGGGTGTGCGTGTTAGTGCAGTAGGCAAGAGAGCAAAAGGATTTCTCCTGTGACACCAGCCACTTTAATCAATGAAGTCTCAGGGCCAAAAGACACATTTGTTACTTTACTACATGACTCTGGGTTTCCTGAACTCAACCTGTTTTTACTGTAGTCATTAGTCACATGTCAGATCCAGGGATTTCTGGTTTGAACTACTGCTTGGGGGGGGGGCTCCCGCGTTCCACCCAGGCTGTTTTTGAAACAACCCCTCAGAGGAATTATTTACAGTTAGAGCAGCGCGTGGATTATTCCAAGTGCTGCTGTTATGTAAATAACTCCGGGGATAGGGTGAGGGTCATTGTCTGAAAAGTGCAGGGGTGGGAAAGGCTGGAGCCCCTCCTCCCAAGCAGCAGTTCAAGCCCCAAAAGGCTACCTCTGATCTTTAAAATGACATTCGGGCAGCTAATGCATGACTGCAGGGAAAACAAGCTGGGTTCAGAAAAGATCTTGTGAACAAATGGTATTGTGTGGTTCCCTGAGGTAGAATGGAAGGAGTCTGAGAGGATTCAAAGGAAGACATTGGTGGACATTTTGGGGAAACATGAGATTTCTTCCCTTTAGTGAGGAGAAAGAGAACTCGGTCCAATACGAATCTTATTGGGTTTTTTTTAATTACAATATATACTGTTATACCTTGAGACCAGTATGACGATCATTACCCCTCACATCATGAGAATACCATGAGAAAGAGTGCAACTGTGGACAGAAGCAACCTGGCAGCCTCTCCAAAGTGATTGTGGTGTTGATATCCACGTGTCACACTGGGCAGTTCCAAATCAGAATGCTTTCATCCCTCAGCTACCATTAATTTCCCTTGGCTAAGAGAAGAATTGCTTCACTGAGGGGGAAGAGTTGGTGGGAAAGAGGCTGGTTTGAAAATACTCTGCTTTCCGACAGTTTCTTCCTCAGGGTCTTGTTTTCGTTTTCCACCAGTTTCCAGAGCTGCTGTCGAATTACAATAAAGTATATTGGATTGTTCATGGTCAGAGTCTCTTCATCCATGGAGATGGACAAATGTTTCGACACATCCTCAACTTCCTTAGGCTTGGCAAGCTCTTCTTGCCCTCAGAATTTAAGTGAGTGGAAATGATCCCTTGAGCTACTTTCCAATATGTTGACAGAGCATTTCTTTGGTCAGGAGGACCAAGAATTCATTGCTCCAGAATCATATCAGGAGATCTTTCTGGAAACGCACAGGCTAAGATTACAAAACAAGAGTTGCTGCTGGATTTCGTGGGGTCAAGTACTGCAGCAATCTTAGCCTCCATGGCTAGGACCGATAAATTTTTTACCTGCCATCACCAAAAAGATTGTTGGTGATCCAGACAAGATCACCTAGGTGGTGAGGTCAGGCATTTGCTGGGGGTGGCAAATCCAGCCAAAGGCCATCCGGTCTAACAGCACAAAACTTTTCACTTTGCAATGAGCACCCAAGAATGTCAGAAACAGGATTCGCAGCCTGCACTGGCCACCCCATACAGGATACTTTGCCTCCAGTTACTTGAAGGCTGTGGGGTGTGGCCCTGAAGTGGACAACAGACTCATGGAGACAGTTAAACATGAAACACACACAAACATCAGTGAAAGAGAGCAGGATTATCCAAGTGTATTTCCTGAACATTAAACTTTTCTCGATAGAGCAGAAAATGTTATTTAAAGGTCACATGATTTATTTACTTAGATATTTTTACTGTATGGGAGAGGGGCTGTGGCTCAGTGGTAGAGCATCTGCTTGGCATGCAGAAGGTCCCAAGTTCAACCCCCGGCACCTCCAGTGTTTATTTTTAAAGACCAGGTAGTATGCAATGTAAAGACCTCTGCCTGAGACCCTGGAGAGTCACTGCCAGTCTGAGCAGACAATACTGATTCAGTAGAAGGCAGCTTACAACATTATTCCCTCTATGTTATCTTTATACCAACAACCCTGTGAGGTAGGTTAGGCAGAGAGAGAGAGAGAGAGAGAGGAGAGAGAGAAAATTTAGTCCTGGGTCTCCCATATCCTTGTTGGACATGATGCCTTCTCGTCTAATGCTTTTGCACAGAGGTATGTATTACTGGAGAAGCCATTCTTGGTCATGTGCATTGGGGCTGTCATGGGATTGTACTGCTTTTGGCAAAAGGTCCTCAAATGTGGTAATATGATTTCAGGCACTATGTGTCCTTTCTCTTTTATTCATCATGCTTTCCCCTCTATGAGAGTATGAGCAGGCTATTCGATTCTGCATGAACATTTTCATGGGCAGGCAATTTGGAAACCTCAAGGTTTCCCCAGGTATATTAAGCAGGATAAACTTGGGGAATTAGAGCAATGGGGGGGAGTATTTTTCACGTCTCCTGACTCTGTAGACTCTCCACGTCTTTAATTCATATCGTTATAAAAATGAATATTTTGAAGATTAAAAGATGGATGTTTGAAGGAGAACTCTGATTTTATTTCATATTGCATGGGTAAATATAAGAGAGAACAATCATGGGGGACAAAATTTATAGAAATAGGGTTGGAGCCAAGTAATTTTTCTACTGGTGAAAAAGAAGGGGGGTCCCATCTGACCGCCAAAAAGGCTGGGCTGGGTGTCATGGGACCTGTATATACAAAAAAACACGGATTTTTTTTGTAGAAAAAGCCCAGCAGGAACTCATTAGCATATTAGGCCACACCCAGCAGCAGAAACTCATTAGAAGAGGGGGTCCCATCTGACCGCCAAAAAGGCTGGGCTGGGGGTCATGGGACCTGTATATACAAAAAAACACGGATTTTTTTTGTAGAAAAAGCCCAGCAGGAACTCATTAGCATATTAGGCCACACCCAGCAGCAGAAACTCATTAGCATATTAGGCCACACCCCTGAGCACAACTCATTAGCATATTAGGGCGCGTCCCATATTAGGACACTCCATTTAAATCCTCTCCCCTTCCCTGAGTTTCTCCGCAAAACCAGACAGTCTCATGGGGAAAGGGGGGCATGTCTGCCCATCTCCCCTTCCCCTCCCCAGCCAACCCGCTACAGCGGGCTGGCTGCAGAAGGGAAGGGCAGGCAGGCAGACATGCGTGCGTTCCCTGCCCGATCTTCTCCAGGTGAGGAGATCTTCTCCAGGTGAGAAGATCTCCACCTAGAGAAGATCTTCTCCACCTAGAGAAGATCTGGCAGGAAACCCAGGCATGTTTAGAATGCCTGCAGGCATGGCAAACTTGGAAGCCAGCCAGAACGCTGTTCCGGTGCGTTCCTGTCCAAAAATAGCCTTGCAAAAAACAATGTGGAATAGAGACTGTACAAGGAGATGAACTGGGTCAGACTGAGTGAAAAAGCTGGCTGGATCTTACCCATAGCCAGAGTGGATAAATTAGAATGGCTGGTATTAAAATATAAACTCAGGAACAATTAAAATAAAAACTGTAGTTGTCCCTGGTGCAAAAACCTCCATAAAAGGATAATGATTTGTGCTGTAGGACATGCTGTCTTAGTTGTCAAAGGAAGGCTAGGTTCATGAATGAAATCTGAGACAGTTCGCCAAACAAGGCACACCCTTGCCTTTGGGCCTTTCATACCTTTGGGCTTGGCAAACCATTGTGGCTTGTGTGTACTCGGCTCAAGCTTCGTTGGGTGCAGAAGCAGTAAAGAGCCTCAGGATCATAGACATACAGTGGCTGGTTGGCCATCTGTCCTTGCCACGCATACTATTCTGCTAGTACCAGCCTTCTCTTTATTCCAGGCTTCATTTGGATCTAGCTGTCCATAACCCCTGCAAGGCCCTTTCTCACTCACACGACTGGAGTGTTTTCACTGGAAGCTTCCTAGACCATCTCCCTAGCTTTTGAACGATTCTTACTAGAAGATGGCACTAGCAACACCTGACTTGTGTCTGTATTTGAATTTTTTTTAAAAAAATCATATTTATAACCAAGACATAAAATGCACTTTTGGGGGATACAGTTTAAGAGAGTTTATATATAAGTGATCTGAATAACCTTTGAATGTTATTTCATAGAGAATGGCCTCTTTTATGCCAAGAAGTGGTAGAATACCAGATCCCTTCTCTTGTGGAAGCCCTTTCTCATTGTGACCCATACAGGTAAAGAAGAGTCTGGTTTTCTATCCCCCCCCCCTTGATTAAAACACACACTTCAACCACTGATAGATCGGATGATGGATAGGAAAGCATTCCCAGCAGGGATGCTCAGGATGAACAGGTAGAGGAATTGAGGAGAGAGCAAACAGAATTGCCAAAGGCAGCAGTTCCTGGCTGGCTTGGCCATGTACCTCCAGAGTAGGGTCCCCAAAATGGCACCCCTAAAATGAAAGGGCCCAGTGCCCCTCCAGATACAAGTCACCACCATTCTTCTTTACAGCACACTTATGTTTGCATACATTTTTTGCAACACAACCCTGCAAAGTAGGCGAGTATTATTGAGAGTGTTTTACCTAGGGCCACCCATCAATTTCTGGCAGAGGCAAGATTTGCATTTTTGACAGCCCATGGTGTTCCATACCAGTACTAGACAATTTCTGGTCATTAGTTCTTTTGGGGAACTAGTAACACAATCTCCTCCTTCACCTCTTGCTTGTCAGGTGAGATGTCTGCTTTTGCTGGCACAGAGATAACCACCCACCTCTTCTTGATTGACTCAATAATAGGAAAAGATTAGCCAATTTTTTTTCATGGTGCAGACGATATTTGGAGGAACAACAGCACAAGATGCCCTATTGCATATTGCTGAATACGTGAAATGTATTGCTTTGCAGAATATGGCTAAAACAACGAGACGCTCACAGCGAAGGTTTCCCGTTGAGAAGTCTTGAACCTGTGGTGTCAGAGAAGGAGAAAGGACCTGGTAAAGATCCTCAAGTTGTACAGGTACTTCCCTTTCAGTAGCCCTATGGATGAAAGACTGTTGCCATCCAGATATAATTCTTGTGGGTAAGTCCCTGTCTATATTATCCTCCTCCCTTGGCAGAGGTACAGATTTGCACTCTCCAGACAGAGAACATATTCATGGTGCCCTGGTTTGAGGAAGGATTTGTGCAGTCAGGAGTAGTATCAAATGGCAAAGTGTTCCCTGGACTGACACACTTCAGGCTGCAAGAGATAAGGCTGTAGGGTGATCTCTCAGAGAAGAAATCCTCAGCACTGACATCGGCCTTTCCACTAGCATGCTAGCTTTCTAGCTGCAAGGCATTCTCAACAAGGTGGTCTGCCTGTCCATTGCCTGAAATGGACCAGTCTAGAAGAAGCTTCTCTCCTTGATGCTACTGACTGGGAAAACTGTCCCTTGATACATTAGACATTTTGAACACCTCAGCATGTTTGACGGGGGGAGACTAGGAAAGTGGTTAGGTTAAAGCCTGGAGTTTGGGGACCACAGCTCCCCCCCCCCAAAAAAAAAAAAGCTTTCCAGCAGCTGCAGTTCTGTGAGCTCTCCCATACTGAAATGTCTTCAACCTTTAAAAAAAAAAAAAAAAAAAACCCTACCCAAAAAACAAAAGTGTACAATTCCTAGTAATCCTTGGGGGAACTCTGATTGAGAAAACCAGTTAAAAGCCAGCAGTATAATTGGACTGAGTAAATGCATCTTTAGCTTTTTAAAAACTTGCCTTTTTTCTTTTTTCGAGCACTCTTATATTGCCATGAATGTAAACCAATGTGCTAATAACTGGAGCATAGTCAGAGAAGCAGAAGATGCAGAAGAGAGCGACCAGGAGAAGGATAGATACACACGTATTTCTCCAGTCAAGGGAGTAAAACGAAGAAACAGCTGGGAAGGATACGGTCCGGCTACAGATGTGTGGGAAAATTCCTGTGGGCACACACAGCCAGGGAGCCCCCCAAGGAAAAAGGGGACAAAAGGGAATTTACCAAAGAAGTCTGACTGCAAAGACACTCCTATCCAGAGGCTCATTTCCCTGGTGCAGGGCTGGGATATGGCAAATCACAAAGCCTACGAAGCCCCGCAGGTGCCCAGTACATCTGAGGGAGAGCCTTCTCGCAAAGACCCTGAAAGGATGGCTCCCTGCACGCTGCTGCCAGCCAGTCTGGCAAGGATTACAGCTCCAGAACGACCTGGGAATGGCCTGGTTCTCAGAGCTGCACCAAGCATTCAACAGCACTTGACAAACACTGGCCAGTGCTGGCCAGGCACCCCAGCTACGGGGGGATGGCTGGTCAGGTCTCGTGGACCAAGCATGCTGGAAGGGATCTGTCCAGTGGTGGAAAACATCCCAGTCAAGAAGCTGAGTAGCCAAGCAGAGAGAGAAGAAGGTGAGGGTGAATGGACCACGTTTGCTGCTTGCAAATGAGCTCCCTGGTGATGATGTCAGCCTATGTCAGAATTTAGAGATTTATTGGGGGGGGGGGGGGGAATGGGACCTTGTAAGGGAAACTCAGTCCAGCACATTTATTTGTTCACTTAAGCTATTTTTGTGCTGCTTTTTTAAATGACAGGGCCCCCAAGCATTATCAAAACCATTAAAAACATAAAATACATATATAAAACAAATCAACAAGTATAAAACACATAAACAAGAAGTTGAGTCCAGGGAAGGAATGCCAAACATAACAGAAGAGTTTTCACCTGCTGGTAGAAGACCATGATAGAGGAGCACAGACAAATCCCCCTGGGGAGGAAACTCTGTAGTTTTGGTACGGTGACCAAAAAGGCTGCCATCTATCTGGTTTCAGATATAGGGCTGTCAGTCCTGTGCTGTCAACCTCTGGGAGCAGGTGGGGGGCAGAGACTGCAGAGGGAAAGCAGCACTGATGCTGTGATGTCACTTCAGGGTGAGCACTGGAAGTGATATCCTGACATCCACGACACTTTAGGAATCTCCCCAGCCAATATCACAAAGACTTGGTGACGTTCCTAGACTTTCATGGACACTGACATCACCCCTGGGTGCTCGCTCAGAAGTGACATCATGGTTTCTGTGCCATGTCCCCTATTTTCTTTATACCATTGCTCTATCGTGTGAACATGGGGGATGCAGCACAGGGGCAAGCAACCGGTAAACCTACTCAGATGGCGGGGGCAGCAAAAGGACAGCCATGAAGATGACCGTAGGTTCACATGGCCGCCTAGCATCTTGCTCAGTGTCACACTTTTTTGATGCTGAGCCAGAAGATGCTGATGCTCTGAGCCAGGTGGTAGGATGATCAGTGAGCCTTTCTGTGTGATCAGATGATGCATATCAAACAGCACTTGCACCTGTGCATGAATGGTCTCCAGGTTCCCTTTTTCAGAACAGTAGTGCACTATTCTACTTGCACTCTAAAGTTCATTTCAAAAGGGCAGGTGGAGCACAAAGCTTCCCGGAGAACTTTTAAAACCCACAAATTGGTAGTGCACTGCTGTGCTAGAGAAGGGAATTATTTATATTTGTTAAGTCTGGTGCTTAACAAATAGTCAGAGAGTGATTTCAGCAAAAACTCAGGTTTATTCAGCTCGATGATCACTTCTCCAACACGGTACAACATTCGATAGCCCGAACAGCTATTCCATTGCAGCTGCTCGGTATTTAAACATTCCGGGCTAATGTAGCCACACCTCCTATACAGATATCAACCTATCCGGTTGAGCGCATATAGTCCAATCACAAGCGTTCCCGCTTCCCATCTGTTTGAATGTGATTGGTCGCATTAGTCTTGGCGCGAATCCCTGGCCAAGACGAAGCTTAACATAGCTTCCCTATGAGATGATTCCACGTTCATCTTAATGCATTCAGGGCAGCTTCTGAATACATTACAAATCATTAATTAAAACATTAATATTCCACATTTCCTCATGGTTCAAGGCAGCTTACAGTAATAATTAAAAACATTTTCAGTTTAAAAAGCAAAATAAATAAATGAAATACCCAAAATATCTCCCCCCTTGTTGATATTTGCTAGTATGTTTGGCTAGTATGGCTAGGCAAATTAATAAGGGAGAACTCAGAAGAATTAAAAATACTGGTTTATCATGTGTTGCTTACAGATAGCAGTCAATGAATGAATGAATGAATCAATCAATCAATCAATGTTTATTTGCGGTCAAAGCCCATTAATCGTAGGAATACATTCTTATAACAGCCAAAGAGATTCATTCTAGTGCAGAAAATATGTTTAGTCATAAAAACCTGAAAATATTTATGAAATATAACAATCCAAAAAGTCCAAGATAAATCTAAAATGTCTAGTATATGTAAAATGATTATTAATCATATAAATAAACTATACATTTTGTGGAATTTTACCAAGTGGAAGCAGAATTTGGCTATTTGTCTGGAGATAGTTGGATTTTCATTAATTAAGAGTTTCTCCAGGCAGGTATTATCTGCATCAACTGATGGTCTGTCTAAAAATGGGGAAATAAACGTATCCCTATACACTTGATGAAATGGGCACTGAAGGAACATATGAACCATCGATTCCACTTCTCCAATACAGCAAGAGCAACATCTGTCTTCATCTGTTACCTTCCTATATTTCCCATCTAGAATACTTGAGGGAATAACCGCTCAACAAGCCAAAGTAAAAGCTCTTCTATAAGATGGCACATCCTAATAAGTAAGATATTTGGCCATATTCATCACATATTTGGACTCGCTAGGGGCCAGGAAAAAAGGAGCTTTTATTAAATCTTTCATTAAATCTTGCTGTCGCTGTTGCTCTGTGTGGAGAACCCTTTGTTTGATGGTGCTTTTCGCCTGGGCATTGCTCAGTCATTGCAAAGTAAAAAGGGACATTTTAAAATAGTCTAATAGCAGATAAAAGGCTGGATCCAGCAGTTTTTAAGAGTACAGGGAGGAGGAAAAGGACAAAATCAGCCTCTTCTTCCCCTTCCAATAGAGCAACTAGGATGCAAGATAGAGCCACCTTATGGCTGTTCGTTTGAACAGCATCACATTTCTCTCCACAGCAACATTCTCTGAACCAGTTAAGAAGGTCATTGATGAGCCAGGCGACAGCAGTGCTGGGTTGATTCTTAAAGTCGAACACCCTCCAATTGTGGCTGGCGATGGTTCATGCATGTCTCATGAAGACAGCACCCTCTACAGCATGTGCCAGGAAGGTATCCAGTGGGCCAGTGCACAGACACAACTGGTGGCCAAAGGTATTGCCTGCAATCTAAGATGGGCTTTGGGTAAAGGTACATATACTCTGCCCTAAAACAACATGCAAAACAAAATCTGTTCCCCTTTCTGTGATCTGTTATAAAAATATTCGTGAACGATTATTAATCCCATGCATTTGAAGAAGTGTGCTTTTACTCATGAGAACTGAGGCTGGAATAAACACTTGACCTTTAAGGTGGTAAAGGACTTTTGTTGTCTGCTCAGGGCGCAGTTTCGTTTTGGTTGTAGCGGTTAGCAGCAGGGATGCTGACTGGAAGGCCCTGCTTTGAGCAGCCTTTCACATTAGATGAGCTGGCATTTGTTCCAACACTGTGCTGGTTCCCCTCCCACATACATGAGCATCAATATACCTGTTCTCAACATGGCCAGATCTGGGAATACTTAAATCTAGAAACTGGAACTATGAACAGACAAGACAGTTCTTTCAACAAACCTAAAGCCTCAGACTTGCAGAAAAATCTGAAATCTAAAAATAATAAATTGGTCAAAATCCCCCAAAATAATAGAAGCAGCACTTGTACGTTTAAGAAACAAATGGCCTCAGTGGCTATTGTTAGGCAACTACAACAATATTGCCAGCCTTCAAGCCTCATTTTCTGTCAGTACAAGGCAGAGGGAGGGGGCAGGGCCCTTTCCAGGCTGTCCTTGAGGGAGGACTCATCATGGCCAGGTCTGGAAGCACCAGGTGCGAGACATGATACTATGCAACTGGTATGGCTCATTTGGGCGTGGCATCTTGCTACTGTTCAACAGCAGTCCCCCACCTCCACAAAAGCCAATGTGTCTAGAATTTCAGACTAGGATCTGGGAGACCCAGGTGCGAATAACCACTCTTCCATGGAAGCTCACTGGCTGACTTTGGGCAAACTACACATTCTCAGCCTCACTTACCTCACAGGGTTGTTGTGAGGATGAAATGGAGGAGAGCAGAATGATGTAAGTTGCTTTGGGTCCCCATTGGGGAGAAAGATGGCATATAAATGAAGTAAATAAATAAAGCTGAAAATGGGGGCAGAAAAAAGGTGGGTAGGTTGGTAGGTGGGAAGGAGAGAAGCAAAGTTGAGGATATGAGGTTCCTGGGGAAAGAAGAAATAGTGTAGAGAAGGGGATAGAGGGGGAAATGAGGTGCCCCCCTGCAAATCCATGCTGGTTACTCACTGCACAACTGGGCCCAGCTTGGCTGCTGGCACTGCACCAACTGTGCTGTAGTTTTCCAAGGGTTAGGCTGCAGGGGGAGGGAAGGAGAGGCAGATAAAGGTAGGTTGGCAGGTGGGTGGGAAGGAGAGAAGGAAGCAGCAAAGGGGAGAGTCTGTGAGGCCCTTCAGGGAAGGAAAAGAGGAAATAGCGGGGGAGGGGAAAATGAGATGCCCCTGCAAGTCCTTGTGGGTCCCCTGCTTGTAACATGCTATTTACAGGATAGTTGAGTAATGTCCTCATGATTTTGTGCTGGATCCTTACGACTTTTCCACCTTATTACAGCTTCCTTTGACCACCAAAAAGGCTAGGCTAGGCATGATGGGACCTGCATGCACCAAAGCTGTGTGGGACAAGGGCTTTATTGAGGAGGGAAATTGGGCAGGACTGAGCGAAAAAGCAGGCTGAATTAAACTCATAGCCTATCAGATTGACCTGCTAAGAACGGGGCTGAGTGAGATTCATGCAGAGTTCAGCTCTGCTTCTTCCGTGGGTAGTCAGAAGACATGTGAATCCATGAGACAGTGGGATTGTGGCCCACTTTCCAATCCAAGCCCAGATTCACATGAACAGTCTGAGCGTAAGGAAGAAAAACAGGTTGCTTACCTGTAACAGATGATCTTCGAGTGGTCATCTATGCATTCACACTGATGGGTTAGGTGCCTGCACCAGCTCTGATCCGGGAAACAACAAGCTCAGAGAGGATCTGGAGCACCTCCTCCCAGCATGTGCAGGAACTCCAACTGTGCATGCCCAGAGGGCGGGGCTCCAGTTTCCCACCAGTTCCTTCTGACCGCTGCCAACCTTCAAGAGAGGCAATGAAACAAAGGCTGACAGCAGTGGGGAAGGAGGGTGGGTGGTGTGAATGCATAGATGACCACTTGAAGATCATCATTTACAGGTAAGCAACCTGTTTATCTTCATCGTGGTCTCTATGCATCACACCAATGGGAGATTAACAAGTTTAGGCCTACCTGGAGGAAGGTGCTGGCAGCATCTCAGGACACCACAGACTGCAGAACCGAATGACCCATACTGGTGTGATGTTGAGCCTGAAGATACACTGCATAATGTCTGATGAATGTGTTCGGAGTAGCCCATGAGGCTGCTTGACTTATGTCCTGTAGAGGCACCCCTCTGAGAAAGGCAGTGGAAGTTGCTATCGAGTGGGTAGAATGGGCTCTAGGCCGAACAGGCAAAGGCCTCTTGTCCAAAAGGTAGCAGAACTTTATAGTCTCTAGGATCCATTTGGATAATCTCTGTGTCAGGAGTTTATGTCCCAAAATATGTGCAGCATAAGACATGAAAAGATGGGGATCCCTGTGAAACCCACGTATTCTATTCAGGTAGAATAAGAGCGCCAACTTAACATGTAGGGTGTGCCAGAGACGCTCAGTATCCATTTCAGGATTCAGATAAAAGTCAGGTAGGACACCCTGTCTATGCAAGTGGAATTCAGAGACCACCTTTTGTAGGAAAGAAATGTCAGGAGTCAGGGCTACCCCACCTGGTAGGAAGCTGAGATATGGAGCATCATGGCAGAAAGCTAGGATGTTGCTTACTCTGCCTGCAGATGTAACTGCCACTAGAAATGCTGTTTTCCAGGATAAAAGCCTAAGCTCACAGGTAGCCATGGGTTTGAAGGGTTTACCGGTAAGCCTGTGTAGTACCGTGGGTAAATCCCAGGCTTCTGCTGGTAATTTAACCAGTGGGTAAAGGTGAAGCAAACCCTTCAAAAATCTTTTAGAATCAGGGTGAGCAAAAACCAAGGTGTTGTCTAATCTCCGATGGAAGGTGGAGATAGCCGCCAGGTAGACTCTTAGTGAGGAATGGCTGAGGCCTGCATCCGCAAGTGAAAGGAAGAAGTCAAATATGTGTGGCAGTCCGGCATTGGTGGGGTCTCCCTCATAAGGTCTGAGGAATGCAAGAAACTTTGACCATTTATACGCATACGAAGAACAAGTAGACAGTTTCCTGCTATTGAGAAGGACAGCCTCTACCCTGTTGGAGAAAACTCGCTGAGTATTCTCCAGGCTGTTAACTTGAGGTGTGGGACGTTGTGAGAGGATCCATCCCTCCAATGGTAAGAGGACGTCCGACGCACGGGGAAAGTGGAGGAATGTCCTGTTGGAGAGATGAAGTAGTAGAGAAAACCATGGATCTTCTTCGTGGTCTCTGTGCTTCACACCAATGGGTTTAGTGCGCACGCGCTGACCAAACCGGTGCTGTAGCAAGCTCTGTTTCAACGGATTTTCGCGCCAAGCCTCTCCAGGCATGCGCAGGAACCCCACTGCGCATGCCCAGAGGGACGGGCGCGGACATCCCGCCAGTTCTCTTTCTACCGCCGCGTTGAAAGGACTTTCTTACCTTTTCTCCTGACCGGATTGTTGTAGCTGCCTTCGGGCCTCCAGCTCATCTACGTTTCTTCGGAACTCTTCTCCGTTCGATCTTTTCTCTACGTTTTCCTTACCAAAAAAAAAAAAGTTTTCAGTTTCTTGAGGGAAATTTCCCTCAGGCCTTCGCCCCCCCCTCCTTTTTTTCTTCGGCTTTAATTTATTGTTATCGCCGCATGGAAAAGAAAAAGAAGAAGAGCAAAAAGTGGGGATTTTTTAATCGTTGTAAAACGTGTGGAAGTAAATTGGCTCCCCCAGACGGCCATGAACTCTGTTTGTTCTGCTTAGGTGAATCTCATAAGCCGGAAACTTGTAAGCATTGCGCCAAATTCTCAAATCAGACGAAGAAGAACCGTGCGGCACGTCTAAAGGTCGCTTTATTGGAATCTGCACTTCACCCGTCGTCTCCTATGGCGGACCAGACTTCGACATCCCGAGTAGCCGTCAATACCGGTGCGTCGACATCGACGAAATCGACATCGAAAACCGCTTCGAAATCTACCACACAGGCAGGCTCTAAAGACAAGCCCATGAAAGGCCATTCTGCTAAGAAGGATAAGCCGCCCAAGTCATCTAAGGCGGGTAAGGCAGTGCCCTCTGAGGGCGTTCCTTTGCAGACCCCGGCACCAACTATGACGGAACCGACGGTGACATCGATATCGAAGGAGGCGTCGATACCGGAGCCTCCGCCTCCTCAATTGTCACCTTCTGGTCTACTGGCCTCTTCCTTGAGCCAACAGATTCCAGAGATTGTCGATATCGATACGGCGGAACTCATGAGTCATCCGATAGGTGCAGAGTTCCCCCCCCACACAATCTACTTCATCGGCATCGATGATTTCAGAGCTGCCCGATACCGATGGCCGTCGACACCGACCAAGACCAAACGAGCGTTATCATCCATCTCAGTTTGTACAGGCCATCGATACCGATATGTCTGGCTATCGGCATGCACCCCATGGACAAGGACATACGAGGGCTAGAAGCCGCTCCCCTCGGTCCTTCCGACCACCGTTTTCATGGGATGAGAAACAAATGAGGTATTTGTACGGACCATATCACCCTCCAATGCCGTGGCTCACGCCTGCTGCCTATTCAGACTGGGACCATTACTCCGTTCGTTCTGAGCACAGATCCCGGTCACCTACTCGAACACGACCTTCTGCAACGATATCAAGGCCTCCAGTTACAGACCTCTCTCAAGTTGGTCCTCTGCCTCCTCCACTACCCTTGGAGACACAACCTAAGGTCCCGACACCGAAACCCTTGGTGCCTGCAGTACCACTTGTCCCTATTACACCTCAAACTGATTCGGAACAAGACTCATCTGATGATATGACTGAGGGTTCCGACTCCGAAGCTTCAGTGGTACCTACATCTCCGGACCACACATCTCCAACACCAGACGTTTCCCAGGACTTACCAATTTCTCCATCCGATAATTTGCATACTTATGCAGACTTGATTAAACGAATGGCCATTGCCCTGAACCTCTCTGTGGTCCAGAAGCCCCCTCAGTCCACCGACTCACTCTACGATGTTGTCCAAATGGACACTTCCTCGGTGGTGGCTCTACCCATATCATCTGTTCTAGTCCAGGTGGCTAAATCTCCGTGGAAGAACCCATCCTCCGCTCCAGTATCCACACGGAAACTGGATCACATGTATAAGATTCAGGACCCAGAAGCAGAGTTTTTAATGACACATCCGACTCCTAACTCAATGATCGTGACATCGTCTTCTAAATCTAGAAGAACACACACTACTCCATCTGATAAAGAAGGGAAGAAGCTAGATGCGTTTGGACGCAGGTTTTACTCTTCGGGCGCATTGGCAATTAAACAATCCACTTATTTAGCGTGCATGAGCCGCTACCAGTACTCCCTTTGGGAAACATTTACGGATCTGATCAACAGCCTTCTGGAAGACAAGCAAGTTGAGGCTAAGACTCTTCAAAAAGAGGGCATAACAGTTGCCAAACAGCAATTAACAACCACTAAACATGTCTTGGAAGCTTCATCGCGCACTATGATGTCGGCAGTTGCACTCAGACGTCATTCGTGGCTCCGGAGCACTGCCCTTTCGATTGACACCAGAGCACAAGTAGAGGACATGCCCTTTGATGGACTCGGTCTATTCCATGCTAACACCGATTCCTCCCTTCAGGAGCTCGATAAGAGCATTAAAGCTTCCAGGCCGCTGGGAGTGTCATCTTCAACTAGACACCCACAACGGTCTCGCACATGGCCACGACCGTGGCAGCGACGTACTCAATCGCACCAATCTCCAGAGCCTAGGTGGCGACCTAGAACTTACTCTGGATCCCAGAAGCAGAGCTACCAGAAGCCAAGGTTTGGCACAAATCAGCAACAACCTCGTGCCAAGCAGCCCAAACAAGCCTCCAAGCAGGGCTTTTGACTTCCCTATCCCCGAGTCAGCTCCCAACTTTACTTTAACCCGCCTTTATCCGTTTCTCCATACATGGCGTGCAATAACATCGGACCAATGGGTCCTCTCCATCTTGACCAGAGGCTACAGGATTTAATTCCACCAGAACCCCGATGTGCCAGTTTTCGTCCTCACGCCACCCTCGCAACCCCTCCTCCAGGAGGTGTCCCTCCTTCTGCAGAAGGGGGCCATCGAACGTGTGCCATCACACTTCCAAAGGAAGGGATTCTACTCCCGATACTTTACGGTACCGAAGTGGGACGGAGGCTTGCGACCCATTCTGGATCTACGAGGCCTCAACCGCTTTGTGTCCTACTGTCGTTTTTGCATGACCTCGCTTCAACAAATCCTGCCGTTGCTTCGCCAGGGTGTTTGGATGGTTACCCTGGACCTACAGGATGCGTACTTTCATCTGTCAATCCACCCTTTCCACCATCAATACCTACGGTTTGCAATCGGTCGAGATCATTTCCAATACGCGGTTCTCCCTTTCGGTCTGTCAAGTGCCCCTCGGGTGTTCACGAAGACCATGGTGGTAGTGGCAGCATTCCTAAGGCTCAAGGGAATTTCGGTGTATCCTTACATCGACAACTGGCTTATAGTCGCATCCTCGGAAGAGATCTTAGAAGCCAACGTTTCAGTCACTTTGTCCCTACTGGCTGAACTAGGTCTGCAGGTCAATTACCAAAAGTCACATCTTTCTCCAGTCCAACGCATCCAGTATAGGAGCGATACTGGACTCCAACGCTTGCATGGCCTATCTTCCGCCAGACAGAGCCGAGGACATAATTTCTCTGGCCGTTCAGCTGTGTACACAACCTACCACTACGGCCTACAACATTCAAAGGCTGCTGGGCCTCATGGCTGCGGCAACTACAGTGTTGGTCTTCGCAAGACTCAGGATGAGAAGGCTGCAACTTTGGTTCCTCCACTATTACAAGCCTCACATGAATGCCCATGTTGTCTTGCTTTCCCCTCCTCCCTCAGTCCGGGACGCTGTCCGCTGGTGGACTGTGCCATCCAATCTGCTACAAGGTGCCCCCTTCCACACTCCGTTCCCGGAGATCATCCTGACCACTGACGCATCTATGACGGGATGGGGCGCCCATTCCATGGGGTACTCCATTGGGAGCACATGGGACGACGACACAAGAAGAAATCATATCAACTTCCTAGAACTTCTTGCTGTCCAAAACGCAGTAACCAGTTTCCTCCCTCTAATCAAGGGAAAGTACATCAACATCCTGACCAACAACACTACGGCAATGTCGTATATAAACCGCCAAGGGGGAACGGTTTCCAATCGTCTATGCAGCCTCGCGATACATCTGTGGGACTTCTGCAGGGCCAACGACATTTTCCTGGTGGAAACTCACATACCTGGAGAGTTGAATCTGGAGGTGGACCATCTCAGCCGCTCTGGCCTCAGCCTTCACGAATGGGGAATAAAACAACCCTACCTGCTCCCAATTTTCCAACTGTGGGGCACTCCCCAAGTTGACATCTTCGTCACACGACACAACAAAAAATGTCATCTTTTCTGCAGTCGAGGGGGATACGACACCCAATCGTTGGGAGACGGCCTTCTTTACCCATGGTCCGCGAAACATCTATACATGTTCCCCCCCTTCCACTGCTCCTCAGGGTGGTACGCAAGATCCTCAAGGACAATGCACACGTGATATTGGTAACACCCTGGTGGCCCAGGCAAACCTGGTTCTCCACTCTTCTAGACCTGTCTCGGGGAACGTATTACCATTTCCCTCCTGTTCCAGACTTGCTTTGTCTCAACGACTCCCCGTTACTTCACCACGATGTGAAAACACTGAAGCTCACGGCGTGGCGAATACTACCCAAGGTTTCTCTGCTCGCAAAGCTCATGTGCTATTAAATTCCAGAAAACCTTCTACACGCAAATCTTATGACCTAAAATGGACTAGGTTTTGCTCCTTTATCGGGACTGATACCTCTCTAGCGACCACTGCTGGTCTGGAGAAAGTTTTTTTGTTTATTTTGTCCCTTGCTGACTCGGGGCTCTCCCACTCCTCGTTGCGTGTTTATCTAGCTGCTTTGTCAGCTTTTCATGTTCAAGTTGATGGTTATTCGCTGTTTACCCATCCAGTTACCAAATGTTTTCTGAAAGGTTTGCTTAGACTCTATCCCCCAGTTAAGTCGCCAACTGTACCTTGGGACCTGCCTCTGGTCTTGCGTCAACTTACACGGAAGCCGTTCGAACCTTTGGCTACATGCGAGCTGCGTCTCCTAGCATGGAAGACAGCTTTCTTGGTTGCAATCACGTCGGCCAGACGGGTTGGAGAGCTCTTAGCCTTTAGGCACGATTCTCCTTACCTTTCTATACTCCCTGACGGAATCCGCCTACTACCGGACATATCGTTCTTGCCAAAGGTGATTTCAGAATTCCATCTGCAAGCAGAAGTTTTCTTGCCGAATTTCTTCCCAAATCCAGTTTCTGATGAGGATCTATTGCTCCATACATTGGATGTCAAGAGGGCTCTCTTGTTTTACTTACAAAGGACACAATCGACTAGAAAAGACCCTCATCTATTCCTCTCTTATGCATCACCGCACCAGGGAACTCGCATTACATCCCAACGTCTATCCAAATGGATCGTGGAATTGATTCGGCTTTGCTATCTCCTGGCAAAACAACCGTTGCCGGGCCCTATCAGGGCTCACTCCACCAGAGCTCTTGCAACGTCCACGGCCTTTCTCAAGGGAGTGCCGCTACATGACATCTGCAAAGCTGCTACATGGGCCACGCCTAATACTTTTATCCGGCACTATACCCTGGACGTCCGAAAAACCAATGCCAGCATCGGGCATCACGTTTTGTCTTCAGCCCAGCGATGAACATCCTGCCAGCACCCTCCTCCAGGTAGGATATGGCTCGCTAGTCTCCCATTGGTGTGAAGCACAGAGACCACGAAGAAGATAAACAGGTTGCTTACCAGTAACTGGTGATCTTTGAGTGGTCATCTGTGCATTCACACCACCCGCCCTCCTTCCCCTCTGCTGTCAGCTCCTACATTTTATTAATAGGTGTTGATTTGCGGCGGTGCTTTGAAGGAACTGGCGGGATGTCCGCGCCCGTCCCTCTGGGCATGCACAGTGGGGTTCCTGTGCATGCCTGGAGGGGCTCGGCACGAAAATCCGTTGAAACAGAGCTTGCTACAGCACTGGTTGGGTCAGCGCGTGCGCACTAAACCCATTGGTGTGAATGCACAGATGACCACTTGAAGATCACCAGTTACTGGTAAGCAACCTGTTTTTGTCATGGCCAGCAAGGGGTCACTAGAATACAGTTCAGTCTGTGACGCAATATCTTGTTCAGCACCCTTGTAAGGAGGGGAATTGGTAGGAAAAGAAACAGTAACTTCCTCTTCCAGGGAAGCAAGAACCTATCCCCCAGATAGAGAGGGTCCGTTCCCCCTCTGCAGCAGAACTGGGGACATTTGGAGTTTTGGCGTGTGGCAAAGACATCTATTTGTGGTTGGCCCCAGTGCCGGAATATTGGGAGCAGATACTTCCAGTTCAGTTCCCATTTGTGCAATTGCATCCCCCCCCCCTCTTCTGAGAGTGTCCGCCTCCACATTCTGGGGACCTGGAAGGTGAGTTGCCAGTATCCAAATGTCGTGTTTTAGACACCAATTCCACAGGATCAGAGTCAAGTGACAAAGACAGTGTGAGACAGCGCCCCCTTGTCTGTTTATATGGGCGAGGGCGGTGGTATTGTCCATCAGGATCATAACTGTTTGACCCCTGATCAATTCTAGAAAAGATTGTATGGCATACCGAACCGCCAGGAGTTCTAGAAAGTTTATGTGAGCACTCCTACGGTGTGCCTTCCGCTGAGTTCCCACGCATAATCTGCCCAGGTGCGCTCCACATCCCCACATTGATGCATCTGTGGCGATGGTGACCGATGTAGGAGGATGGAAGGGGGTGCCTGTTGTCAGATTGGGGACATGCTCCCATCATATCAGAGAATCCCTCATATCTCCTGGTAGCTGGAGTTGCTTGGTTTCGGGGTGTTGGGAGGGTTTGAAGGTCTGGACAAACCAGAGCTGCAGGGGATGCATACGAAGTCTTGTCAGAGGTAAAACCCCTGTCGTAGCCACCATTAATCCCAGAAGCCTTTGAATGTCTAGAGCCGTGACAACTGGAGACAGCTGAAGTAGACACGCCAACAGGGCCAGGGTGTGTGCCCTCTGAGTAGGGAGGAATGCCCTGCCTAAGGCTGAATCAATGGTCACCCCAATTAAGTTCACCCTTTGGGAGGGGTGAGATTGGATTTTCTGTGGTTGACAAAGAGCCCCAGATTGTGTAGAGGTTTTAACGTGAAGTGGATATTGTCTAACAAAAGACTTCTGGAACCTGCTACCAGAAGCCAGTCGTCAATGTATGGGAAAACTATAGCCCCCTGGAGTTGCAGGTAAGCCGCCACTGCCACCATTGTCTTGGTGAAGACCTGGGGGCCGTAGAAAGACTGAAGGGCAGCACCTTGTATTGATAGTGGAACTCCCCCACAGCAAAACGAAGAAATCTCCTGTGAGGAGAGAAGATGTCGATGTGAAAATAAGTGTTCTGTAAATCTAATGTGGCCATCCAGAACTTTGGCTCCAGAAGAGGCAGTGTGTTTTGTAGAGAAGTCATTCTGAATTTGCGGTATGTGATGAACTTGTTCAGGGACCTGAGATCTAGTATTGGTTGAAGCCCTTCATCTCTCTTCGGAACTGTGAAATATCAGGAGTAAAACCCCTTCCCCCCATTCTGGAGGAGGGACCAGCTCTATGGCTCAGTCAGGATCAAAGTTGTCGGTATCAATGGGTTCAATCTGGAGTTGTGGGAATTAGGGGGAGCCATTGGTGTTGAGGGTTTTCCCGATGGAAGTGGTAAGATGGGTGTCGAAGGAGGATGGTCCCTGGCAGGGGAGCGTGCACAGTGGGAAGTGACTGATTGCCTGTCCCAGTCCATCTGCCTTCCAGGATTGAGCCATGGCAATGCTGAAGCTAACAGGAAAGTGCTGTAGAAATTCTGCAGTTGCTTCTGGTCTCACGGTACCATCACAGAAGGCGGTGGTAGAGCAAAAGTAGCCTGCGATTGATCGCGAGAGGATTGGTCCCGAGGCCTGCTATGCCTGGGGGACGAGTGGTCTAGCCTACGTTTAGACTGATGTCGGTGTCGGCTTCCGGTCTGGCTCCCGCGCCAGGCGGACGAATGGTCAGAGACTGCCCGAGGGCGCCTCGCCCGCCCGCGGTGGAGGAGGGAATCTGCGCGAGCGGAGACCCGAACGAGCCCCTCAGAAGAGAGGAGCTCGGATCCGGGGCGCTTTAGGGCGCACTAGGAGGTGCGCTCCACATCCCCACATTGATGCATCTGTGGCGATGGTGACCGATGTAGGAGGATGGAAGGGGGTGCCTGTTGTCAGATTGGGGACATGCTCCCATCATATCAGAGAATCCCTCATATCTCCTGGTAGCTGGAGTTGCTTGGTTTCGGGGTGTTGGGAGGGTTTGAAGGTCTGGACAAACCAGAGCTGCAGGGGATGCATACGAAGTCTTGTCAGAGGTAAAACCCCTGTCGTAGCCACCATTAATCCCAGAAGCCTTTGAATGTCTAGAGCCGTGACAACCGGAGACAGCTGAAGTAGACACGCCAACAGGGCCAGGGTGTGTGCCCTCTGAGTAGGGAGGAATGCCCTGCCTAAGGCTGAATCAATGGTCACCCCAATTAAGTTCACCCTTTGGGAGGGGTGAGATTGGATTTTCTGTGGTTGACAAAGAGCCCCAGATTGTGTAGAGGTTTTAACGTGAAGTGGATATTGTCTAACAAAAGACTTCTGGAACCTGCTACCAGAAGCCAGTCGTCAATGTATGGGAAAACTATAGCCCCCTGGAGTTGCAGGTAAGCCGCCACTGCCACCATTGTCTTGGTGAAGACCTGGGGGCCGTAGAAAGACTGAAGGGCAGCACCTTGTATTGATAGTGGAACTCCCCCACAGCAAAACGAAGAAATCTCCTGTGAGGAGAGAAGATGTCGATGTGAAAATAAGTGTTCTGTAAATCTAATGTGGCCATCCAGAACTTTGGCTCCAGAAGAGGCAGTGTGTTTTGTAGAGAAGTCATTCTGAATTTGCGGTATGTGATGAACTTGTTCAGGGACCTGAGATCTAGTATTGGTTTAAGCCCTTCATCTCTCTTCGGAACTGTGAAATATCAGGAGTAAAACCCCTTCCCCCCATTCTGGAGGAGGGACCAGCTCTATGGCTCAGTCAGGATCAAAGTTGTCGGTATCAATGGGTTCAATCTGGAGTTGTGGGAAGTAGGGGGAGCCATTGGTGTTGAGGGTTTGCCCGATGGAAGTGGTAAGATGGGTGTCGAAGGAGGATGGTCCCTGGCAGGGGAGCGTGCACAGTGGGAAGTGACTGATTGCCTGTCCCAGTCCATCTGCCTTCCAGGATTGAGCCATGGCAATGCTGAAGCTAACAGGAAAGTGCTGTAGAAATTCTGCAGTTGCTTCTGGTCTCACGGTACCATCACAGAAGGCGGTGGTAGAGCAAAAGTAGCCTGCGATTGATCGCGAGAGGATTGGTCCCGAGGCCTGCTATGCCTGGGGGACGAGTGGTCTAGCCTACGTTTAGACTGATGTCGGTGTCAGTGAGTGACCTTGATTGGCAATCAGGATTGGGAATGGTCAGAGACTGAGGAGCGGGAGCTCCGGTAGGGTGTTGCTTGATGAGGCGGCACCTCTTCAACATCAGACACTGAGAAATGGAGATTGGTCTGTGCCGATTGATCCACCGTGGAACCCAGCTGCCTAACTGGCAAGTCCAGTAACATAATTGGTGGTATCACTGGGACACTGGTCAGGTCCGGTAGAGCAGAATGGGTGAGAGGAGTAGCTGTTTGGGTGTCAGAGCCCATTACAGCACTCACCTCAGTCGGTTTCGGGTCAGTTTTAAGGTGTTTGTGTTTAATGTTAATGTGGCCCTTGCCCTCTTTCTTTTTCTTAGAAGTTGGTGTTGACGCCACAAATGTAGCTGTCAGGGCCAGGAGCCTTGATGTGGAAGGTCCAGTAGTAGAGGTGGTGGCCGCCAAAGTGTTTAACGTTCGGGGCCGATCTTTCAGCATCGATCGAGGCCGATCAGTCGGTGCTGAGTGAGGGCGATTGGTTGACGTCAACTTGAGAGTCCCCTCAGGCTGAGCGGAGGCCATAGGCTTGGGTCGAAGAGCAGATTGGAGTCTTGCCGCTCTGTTTTTTCGTGTCTGGTTTGAAAATTTTGCGCAATGGATGCAGGTGTCCATCCTATGTGCCTCTCCCAGGGAGTGACTGACTGTTGGAGCAAGCTTGCACCTGCACTGCGTGCAACGCTTAAAGAACCCCCAGCCAATTTGCCATAGACAAAAGACAGATAGAATAAAAAAAAGGGGGGGATCCAACAGTGTCTGAAGGGGGAAAGAGAAACTAAGGGAAATCCTCCTCTCTCTCTCTTTTTTAAAAATCAAGAACAAAAAAGGAAAAACAGAGAAGAGCTAAGGGGAGAGAAAAAAATTCTAAAGAGAAAAACTTTCCCTCACAGCAGAAGTTCCCAGACTGAAGCAGACCGAGTAATCAGTGCGGTGGTCAGAAGAGAACTGGCAGGATACTGGAGCCCCACCCCCTGGGCATGCGTGGTTGGAGTTCCCGAGCATGCTGGGGGGAGGGGCTCCAGATCCTCTCTGAGCTTGTTAAGAAGTTTCCTGGATCGGAACCAGTGCAGGTGCCTAACCCATCGGTGTGATGCATAGAGACCACGACGAAGATAATCTTCCTTACAATAATTGACCTCAGGGCCAAACTAGATGTTACATTGAGCTCTTCACTGCCATGGGGACTTGCGGTCAGAGAGCAGTGGCAAGTCCTCTGTGGAACCTCACTTCTGCTGTGCTGCAGAGGCCCGATTTAGATTGGGACAGTGGTGGGGAAGAGTAGCTTCGGTGCCTTTTCCCCCCATTACCCACAGTGGCCTCGGGGCACCCCCAAATGCTTCACAGTGATGAGGCAGAGATGGCTGCAGGCCACCTTAGCTCTAATTCTTTGCCCTCTTAGACATCGTCTTTCTGAGCTTCCCGTTGTCTCGTGAGGAGATCTTTTATGCCCGGATGTGCCACTGCTTTCTCACGGATGTCATCTTGGACTCCATAAGGCAGAAGGACCCCAAGGAAATTACTGCCCAAGTGGAGCTGTTTGTACAGAGGTTGTGGGTAAGTGGAGATTGCAGCTTGAGCGGATGGAGATCTTCGCAGTGGGTGCCTGTGTGGGGTGGGCGGGTAGCAGGCCCTGGCCCTTCTCTGACTCGTAACTCTGACTCTGACTCTTAACTCCGAGGGCACCTTTTCTAGTCTGAGGCAGGACTGCCAACCAGAGCTTTCCCCATCCTTCTAGTCTGGCTTCTGACAGCTTGGGAATGGGTTCTGAAGAGCATTTTTATTCATCAGCACAGTGTTGGCCTTTCTTTCCCTTCTGCTGAGATGTTTACAGAGGAGATGAGAAAGCCACAACCAGGCATAGGAGTTAACTCCTGTCCTTAACAAGCCCCGGGCCAAATTAGAGCTCCCAAGAACATCCCCATCCCCACCACTCTGAGGCACTAACTTGACTGATTTTTGGGGCGTTGCTTAGCCAAATTGGGGGAAGCCGCCCCCTGAAGGGACAAGGCAAGTGGGTTTTCAGGCGGCTGTGGGCTTGCCTCTGTCAGTGTTTGAGTGACCTCATTTCTTGCAGACCCTGCAGATCACAGTGAAGGAGTTTGTGGCCAACCTACTGAATGTGGCACCTTTTAAAGCCAAGAGTCATACCTGTGAGATGCTGTTGAAATGGCTTGAGGTAAGTATGAGCTACTGCCTCATTTGTGCAAAGCACTGGGCTATCCCTTTTGTGGCTTTTTTCTTACATGTGGGAGGCTTATTTTAGTTAAGTAGACTTGAAATGTCTGGTGCTCAAACCCACCTTTGACATGCAAGGTGGGTCCTCCTTTTGGTTTTTAATTATGCTTGTGTCTCTCCTCTCTCTTTCCTTCCCTTTTATAAAAACTTACTAACATCCCCTCACACCCCAGACAAAACGATGCTGTTGCTCCTGATGTAATTTGTATTATTATTTATGACATGAAATGTAGCTGACTCCCAGCCTTTTGGCTTTGGGTTCAAGGAGGCACCTCGTAGCAGAGCAGGGCTCTTTTAGCTGCTTGTTAGTGCGTTCCTGTTTCTCTTTCAGTTTACGCTGCCATTTGCCTGGAAGTACAGTTGTTGCATTGACCAGCTGATAAGAAAAGGGTACTTTAAATCACTCTCTCGTGTTGTTTTAGGAAAATATTTTCAGAAGTCTTAATAAAGCCTAAGCCTTCGACTTGCTCCTCTTTGGATACCTTGGCAGCGTCCTCTCTCCATTTCAGTTGACTACAGGGACCACGTTTTATTCCACTTCAAACTTTAAGGGGAATCCTATCTTTAAGTGCACTTCCATGGATGCAGCCAAGGAGCATGGTAGCTGGGCCAGGGCTGTGCTACACTGGTTCCCTGTCCTGCAGCTGGGTGCTTGAACACTCCTACATTTCAAAAGCTCCCTGTACACAGCAGAGGGAAACAATTTCAGAGCATTCAGAGGTGTCCTCCCACCTGCAGCCCAGTAGCCTATCCAGAATTCTACCACGTTCCGCAGAGTGTGAGGAAGGGCTCTTACTGGGATGTTTGGGGAACAAACACAAAAGAGAAATCACGATGTGAATAATATCCTCTCCTCCCTGCCAGTAGCAGGAGGTTGGGCAGGAGCTCGCCGGCGCTCTCCCTTCTTCCACAAGATGGGTGTCTGCACAGGTTGGGGATCACCTCATAGTCATCTGCCCCTTTGCCAGGGTTCATTCTCATTCTGCTGCCGGCTGCTCCGTCAGGTCAGGTCGTGTCAACTTCAAACAGGCATTCCGCTGCTGTGAGAGGAGCAGGAGTTCCAGGAGCCCGGCAGGCTGTTTCAAGGCCTGGCCCCTCTCATTTCCCTGCTTTCCCACCCACACCATCCTAGTTGCATGGAATTCTGGCTGGGGAAGAGGGATAAGCACGGGACACTTGCATCTCAGCATCACCCCACTTTCAATTTCCTAGTCATCGTTTCAGACAAGGCTGGTTTGTGGCACTGGCAGCAAGGGCATCGACAGGCAATGTGGCCTATTGACAGAAGCTGAGGCACGCCAACCTTCACAATGGCGATGTGCAGCTCCAAACTACACCTACCCTTCTCTGATGCATCTTTGCTGTGCGACTTCCTACTTGATTATGACTGGCCACTGATCTCAGGACTAAAGTCAGCAATAATGAAGATGATGGAGAGGGAAGGACCATGGCTCAGTGAAAGAGCCTCTGTTTGGCATGCATAAGGTCCCAGGTTCAATCCACAGCATCTCCAGCTAAAAGGATCACGTGGTAGGTGATGTGAAAAAGCTCTACCTGATACCCTGGAAAGCCTCTGCTCGTCTGAGTAGACAATACTGACATTGAAAGATCAAGGGTCTCATTCAGTGTAAGGCAACTATAAGAGCAAACTGAGATCTCAGACCCCCAAAGGACTCCCATGTGGGGGGCCAGCACTGGGGTCTTGATTCCATCTTTCTAGCACACCAGGCTGACCTCCAGTTTAGTGACAAATTGCATCCTTTCAGGGATCAGTGGCCAGCAGTTAGTTCAGATGAGTGTGTTTAAATCCATAGTTCCCAAGGTTAAGCCACTGAGTTCCAGGGGTCATGCTTGTCACAGCAACTTCTAGAGGAAAGAAAATGCATAATCAAAAGGGGCAGATCTGGTTCCTGCATAAAGTGTGGGGACATGTTTTTACTCTTCTGGGGGTTCGGTAAGTGGGTAGGAGTGTGCTTCTCACAGTTTGAGGGAGGAACCCGAAGGAATCAGCAGCCCCATATGCAGGTGTATTCGGAAAAGCTTAAGTTGTTTCCCATGTAGCGTATCATAGGGATGGTACTGCATTCTGGAGGGGCAGGATAAGGACATCACTTTGTTACCAAATAAATGCAACGTATGCTACGTGCAGCATCCAGAGCTTGTTGGGCTTAATGGCACATCTCCTGCAGAAGATGAGAGTCCTACAGAACTGGTTTGTCAGGGTATTCAGTCCTATGAGAGGAGTCAGGAAATTGTTGGACATTTGGAAGAGCTCATGTACTGTGACTAGACCAGTAGGGTAACAGACATAGCATAGTGAGTGGAGTTGTGCTTCAGCTTCTAAACTCCTATCACAAGAGGGCTGGGATGCACATGGTACAGGGCAATACAGTGCATAGAACCTGGTTAGTGACAGGTACGCAGCTTCACAAACAAGGCAGTGCTGCACAGCTTGCTTTCTTAAGAGCCTCAAGCGCTACTCCTTTGGTAGTCTTCCAATGTGGGACTGCATCGAGGCCAAGATAAAAACAGAGTTGCAGTGACTTATAACTGATATTCGAGTGATCCCTGGCAGCAGTTCAGAAGGGAACTAAGAGGCCAGTGATCTCCCACTCGCTTTCGCATAAGGAGAGGAGGCAGAGTAGCTTGTGCTCAGGAGAGGCCTAGAAGTTTTCACAGCTGGGTTGCACAGGCAGTTCCCACTTGAGGACCGCTCTACCTAGTGCATCTTTTGCTGCCCTTCCTCCAGGGAGTTCAGGGTGGAATACGCAGTTCTCCCCTGCCCCATTTTATCCTCACAACGACCCTACGAGGTATGTCGGGCCAGAAGAGAGTGATAGATCTAAGGTCACCCAGTGAGCTTCAGGGCAGATTGGGGATTTGAATCTGGCTCCCAGCTCTTTGTCTGATGCTCTAGCATACTACCAGCTGATGAATAGCAATTACAGGTAAATGCAGCCCTCTGTAGAAGTGCCGCAGATGGCAAAATATTCGGTCTCTTGGAGTCTAGCCTAAAATGTAAATATTGAGTGTTACATGTAATTAACAAACTTCCCAGATCTTCTTTTAGAAATGAACATGTATTCAAACCAAAATGCACTGGAAGAAATAACTTTTATTAAGTAATTCAGTCAAATCTTAAAAACAACATAGATGTTAGCAGGACATTAAGGCATTTCTCCCCAGCAATGAAAGAACTTGTCTTACTTGTTTTCTGACCAGATATTGGTCAGAAAATGGTTAATGTGAAATTTCTTTCATACTTCCTCCAGTTTTCTGCTCACCTCTCTTCCTTTTTAAAAGCAAAGGTTAGATTAATCAAGAGTTTGGAAGCATCTAAATTTGGAAGCATCTAAATCCAGGTGCTTTTCAGACAGTATTCTACCCAAAATGGCAAAAGGTTCTGTAACTCCATTCTTAGAATCAAAAAAGAGAAGGCTGGAAAAAATCCAGCTTATTAAATAAATGTATAAAATAAGAGTCATATTTACAGCACTTGGATTTTCAGAATGAAAATGGAGTCTGATTAATGCGCAAGGGGTAACAGAAGTGCATTCAAGGCCTTGAAGCAAGAGGTTAGGGAGCAGAACCATAACATTAGCCAGGATGTGATGGCATCCTTGAGTCAGGTGTGACAGGCAAACACCTACAGTGCTGAGAGATGCTGCAGCCCTTGCTGACAGCTCAAAGGGGGCCCCTTGGATGCTTTGCAAATGGCGCTCACCAGCCCTTTCTCAACTAGACCGGCAGAGACAACCAATTGCCAGAGGCGCTTCTATCAGCAACAATTTATGCCTGAACAGCACTGGCTGGAACACCCCTCTGAACTCTTCCCTACCCCCTGTGAGCCTTGCCCGTGCTTCCCCTTCATCCTCCCACCCAGAGCCTTTGTGTTACTCTCTTGGTGACTGAGAGCCAGAGTTGGAGAACTGAGGGAGAGTGCAGAGACCATCCCTGCAGCACGTGACCGCTGGGCAGGAAAACGGCTCCAACGGCTCCAGTTGGCTCCTCCTGCTCTCTCAGAAGGCTAGCTAAGAAATCTTCTGGTGGTTGGCCTGTGCGCCTGTGCAGTTCCCATGTGGGACTGCACAGGACAACGATGATGAACAGACACCTCCAGCACAGGAGCAGCCAAAGGAAGGTGCCGGAGTGGTTTGAGCAACTCCCAAATGCAGGTGAGGAAATGACAGTCCTGAATGGTTTCCCTCCTTGGGTTGGGGGGAGGAATGCCTTGCAAGCTGAAAACTAGCAAATCATGGAGATAGGTGTTAGCCCAGCTTGCTCTTTGCTAGGCATGTTTTCTTTTTGCGTCGAGGTTGTTGTTAAATGAGAAAAAAACCCTGAAAAACATGGTCCCTCCCCTAGAGTCTCTAGGGCAGTCTTCATGCCCCCAAAGGACACTCCTGTCTTATTCTGCTGTCAATATAGATCAGGCCAGTCTTGGGCCCTACCCCCTCGAGTGCTTCTCCAGCTCTCTGCTGCCGCCCAAGTAGCTGGTTGAGCTTCTCACTGATGGAAACCCTTTTCTGCCCATCAGAGACAGAGTGCTATTTTGGGGGCAACTACATGAAGAGCACAACTTGGCACTGAGGCTCCTGGGGATTTTGCATATGAATTCATAGGAAGAAAAGGCAATAAATTATCTCAGCACCAGGCAAAATTAAACAAAGAGAACAGGCCTGGATAAGAAGGTTCACCCCAAGAGAGGGCATCCCCCCCCCAATAAATAACTTTGCTTCCTTCTACCCTTTGAAAAAAAGGGTTAGAAATGTGCAGGTTGCAGAACAAAACTCCGGTCAACTGAAAACAAAAACGAGTAGTAAACAGTTTCTTGATGCCTCTGATCTCTCCAGTCCGTTGGTGCAGATTGTTGGCCATTCATCTAAACAGGATCACCCCTGGCCCACCAGTCCTCTGTGTTCTGCCACGGAACCCCTGACCCCTCCCACCACCACCCCCATTTCGCTGTTGCTTACTGCTGCTTCCAGTTCCCCAGGTCCAGCCGCCATATTGCTTTCTGATGCGCTAACAGAAGGAAACACGGTGGCTCGGATCTGACTGCAGTAGACTCCGTGGAACAAGCCAGGTCTGTCCCCTGAGGTGGCAGTCTTGGCCCACTCTTCAACTGTATTGGGTGGCACTACTCTAAAAAGGGGGTCTTTGTCATGTCTGGTCAGTTGTGGGCCTGTAGAGACACTGATCTCCCTAGCTACTGTTGTGGCCTCCGGAGCACTGTAGGGAAGTTCCTTCTTCCGGGCTCCTCCAAAACGTCAACGGAAACTGGCATTCAAACCTGTAACACAGCATCATACACAGTCAGGGGATCCAGGAGCCACTCACAGATAGCCATGCCCTGGAAGGGACTGATCCTCCACAAACCCCACTCTCTCCCCCTGCCACTAACCAACACCATCCAGGCTCCATTTATAGCATGAAGCCCGGCATGTCCGCTGACTGGGAAGGGTCCCTGTCTAGTGGTGGCCAAACATATCCCTTGACGGAAAGGGTTCTTCTTATCTGAAGAAGTGAGAAGTGGCTCAAGAAAGCTCATTCCCTGCCACAAATTTTGTTAGTCTTTAAGGCGCAATTGGACTCTTACTCTTTTCTACCACTAACATGTATGCAGGCCGGCCAAGTCTGCACACGGGCTCCTGCTTACTCACCGCTGAAACATACTGGCTTTTGGGGAAACAGCTTTTCTCCTCCAGGGGGGAGGCCAAGGAAGAACCTGTGGGAATGGAAAGCGGAGAACCCGGGTCTTCACAGAAACTGTCCCGAGGAATGCCAGAGACACAGCCGCTGTCCGAACTGCTGGAGCCACTGCCAGACATGTAGTGGGAGGACTCGGAGCTCTCTGTTGCTGAGCAAAGAGAGGGCAGAAGTGTCAGGAAGAGACCTGGCCCACTCCCCAAACACCCCTCCTGAACCAATGTCCATCCAGCTTGCCGCTCAGAGCCATGCAAGGGTAGAACAGCCCTGCTGAACAGCCCACCAAAGGAACCTTGGAGTAAAAGAAGCATCCAGTCCTGATTCCGTTTTGTCAGTAAAATGAAAACAAAGGTGAAGACTGCAAGGTGGGGGCTATGGGGGGATGTTAGAGATACACACTTGGAGGGACAACTCACACACATGGCAAGAAGTCCCATCACACGCATGTCCCACTTAAGATCAGTACCAGTAATAGTATCAATAGGAAGATACGTCATTTGTTAAAGTAAGTTCGTGCAAGTTGGTTCACCTCATACTGATTGACTTGCATGTGCAAAGTGGCTGTCAGACAACAAACACACAAACAGTTTTCTCTAAGATAAAACTTTCCCAAGCAAGGATTCACTGAAGATGTGCCCTCACGTGGGTGGCTATCAGCCCCAAATCTGCTCTCTTCTCTGGTTTCTAGGCTTGCTTTCAACCTTCAGTTGCGCACCTTGCTTGGAGCATGCTGTGCAAACGAAGAGCAATCCTGAAGTTTAGCAGATTGAGAATGTCCTGCTCGCTGCAAACTGACCAAAATGGGAGCAGGGAATGCTGAAGGAGGAGGAGAAGGCTGAGACGCTTTGTCTTTTAAGTTCCCCATTCATTGTACTGGCCTGGAAAGACTGACCGCCTTTGGGTCACAAGGGCCTGGTCCGTCTCCTTAGAGCCCAGAGGCAGCCGTTTTGCTGGAAGTCATTTCACGGGCGGTCAGAGTATCCACAGGCCCTTCTGTAAAGGCCAAAGCAGCACTACTTCTGCAGCAGAATTTAGGGAAGGGAGGATGTGATGCTATACAGTCCACCCTACAAATCTGCCATTTCCTCCAGGGGAGATCAGTGTAGTGATGGGGGAACTCCAGGTCCCATCTGGAGGTTGGCAACCCTATCTGTGGTCTATATCAAGTCCACAGAGTTCCCTTCTCATCCTTCCCTTCACGGACTTCTCACCTACTCATTACGGTTGTCACCCCTAAGGCTCCATGCACAATATTCCTGGAAGATGGATTTTGGATGCCAGCAGCTGAAATGAACAGTTGGTGCACTGAAGGGCTTTCATGGGGGGCAGGAGGTTAGGAGAGGGGCTGGTCTACTGCGCATTCACTGTGTGACTGACTTAGGCTAAGATTTGGGCTAGACCTGGGGGCCCTGGTCTTGTTGAGCCCATGCACATCTTGTTGACATGAGCAGAACAGAAGTGGCTGTGGCCACAAAATGGCAGCCACCGGGGGGTGGGACCAATCACAAAATGTTGGGCGACTGCACACCAAGCATCTCTTAGGATGGAAATGCTGACGAATGTTTCTGAATGGATGCTCCTGAGTTTCTTGGAAGCAACTCCTGCTCCACTGCAGCAGAGGAAAGCCACAACTTGATAGTTGTTTCGATTAGAAAAAGATGCAAATGGCAGCAGTAAATCCACAAGTGGGCGCCACACTATCCACAAGACCCCACTCAGGCTCACCGACCTAGCTGTTCCCCACCTCTCCCATTATGCCTAGCAATCCCATCTGCCCCGAAGAGTTCTTGCTTCTGATACATTTCTGGGATGGCCACTGACTCCTACAATCCCAGGATAAGGAGCAAAGGCATGCCATACGTACTCATTGAAGGCTGGCTGCTGGTCTCATTCTCCATCTCGTCCTCCTCAATGCAAGCATCAGCGTCGAAGGGCCGGCTGGCACTCAGCATGCTTGGCAGCAGGGCCTGATCCAGGTACATGTGCAGGTTGAGGGGCCCGAGCACTGAGCAGGAAGAAGGGCCACCGGCAGGCAGAGGGGCTGGTGATCGCTTGTAGGGATTGGTGTGGTCAAACAGCGACACGGCGATGGAAGCCCGGGTCCTTGCTCCTGCCACACATAGCAACACATTCAAGTGTGAGCGCCCCCTGGGCTGAGCTGCAAGGGGCGAGGTGGCGATGGCAAGGAGGTGGGGCTGGACTTACCCCTGCCTTTCATAATGTAATCGATGGCACGGTCGTGGATGGCAGCTTCGCTCGGCTTGATGTCCAGGAAAGGTTTGTTGCCCACACCCATGGACACCATCTCCTGCATGCGGATTTCTGGTGGGGAGACAAGAGACCATGATGGAAATGCCCTGGCAGCTGACAGTTGTGTTGTAGGCTCCCATGCTCTCCTGCAAGACAGGCTTATCCTTGGCATATGTATGATCTGCTAAGGCCCCGGGACCCTCACCCCTGGGTGACCAGATGCAACAGAGGACAAACTTGTCGTCTGAAGAAGGAACATCAGCAGGGGCAGCTTCTCCCCCTTCTTCAGCACAATGGCAGGGCATGTCGCACCCGACAAAATGCCCTCTGCTCCACATGAAGCCCTCTGTGGTCACCACAGTAGGCTTCTCCCTTGCTTATTTTAAGCAATACCTTGCTTTTCTCCCTAACAGGGACCCAAAGTGATGTGTACAACAACATTCTCCCATTCTGACATTTTTTGTGTGTGAGGATTCTGTGTGTGTGTGTCTGCCTGGAAGTCATGTTTGACTGCTGGTGACCCCTAGTGGGGCTTGGACATTTCAGAGAGGTGGCTTTGATACTGCCTGCCTCTGTGTTCTGGCCCTGGTTTTCCTTGGAGGTCTCCCTTCCAAGTACTTGACAGGGTTGTCCCTGCTTAGCTTCTGAGATCTGGTGAGATCGGGCTTGCCTGGGCTTTCTGGGTAGGGCCCATTCTTGCATTTTTTATCCTCACATCAACAGCTCTGAGGTCACTCAGGCTGAGCAAGTACACCTGGTCAAAGGACCCAGACAGCTTCCATCGCTTCCATGGCACCAGTGGGGATTCAAACCTGGATTTCCCAGAACCTAGTCTGCATTGGTTGACTATTACACCGCCCTGGCTGCAGAAAATAGGCACATATCTTCCCCCTGCCGTGGGAAACCATGGGGAGGGTTCCACTGGTGAAGAAACCAGTGTGTGCGTGCGCATGTGTGTGTGTTGCATTCAGGCCAACCTTTATTGCGGGTTGCCTGTTCCCACAGGATCTTGGTGATGTCACTGGTCCAGGACTGCTTGGTCTCTGGGCTGCTGGCCTGCAGGATGTACGTGTCACTCGATTTCCGTCGCCTAAACCAGATCTCAAAGCGCAGGCCGCTTTCACCAGAGTTCTCCGTCAGCCCAATGTCTGCTGTCTGCAGGGAGGGAGAGGGAAGTTCAAATCCAAGATGTGTGGAAGAAACCTGCTGGGTTGGACATCCATATGACTGGGAATGGGAGGATAAGGAAGAGGGATGTAGGCATGTCCCATTTGTTAGTACTAAGTGTGAACTGACCTGAAAACAAGTTGAACAAGCTGCCTTATACTGAATCAGAGCATTGGTCCATCAAGGTCAGTACGATCTACTCAGGCTGGCAGCTGCTCTCTGGGGTCTCAGGCAGACGTCTTTCACGTCATCTGCTCCCTGATCCTTAAGTGGAGAGGCTGGGGATTGAACCTGGGAACTTCTGCATGCCAAACAGATGGTCTACCACCACTGCACCGCAGTCCCTGGTTCTAAAACATTCAGCCTTGTCTAAGCTTGATGGGTAAGGGGAGGCTATGTGATCCCACCACAGAATCTGGATCTATTGCCTCTCACGTTTTTATCCTGTCTTTTCACCAAGAGGCTCAGGGCAGCATACACAGGACTTACCTTTTTTTATCCTAATGGCCCCCTGTAAGGGAGACTAGGCTGAAGGAGAATGAGAGGCGCATGGTCCCCCAGTGAAATTCCACACTGGATTGACCAACCTGTAATTCAAAGTCCAATGCAGCTCTTTAGCCTCACGTGGTGGCCCACCCGGGGCCAAGGAACACCCTGACCGATTCTGCAAAAACAGTTGTTCCGCCCTCGGTCTGCCATTTCCCCTGGTTGTACTGCTCAATTCCCCACTATTTGCTGTGCGGCTACATTTTGACCTGCATCTCCCCCCGATTTCCCCCGTGTCTTCTTGATCCTAAAAAATAAGGACCAAGAAGACTCGGGGGAAATCAGGGGGAGATGCAGGTCAAAATGCAGCTGCACAGCAAATAGTGGGAAACTGAGCAGTACAACTGGTGGAAATAGCAGACCGAGGGCAGAACAACTGTTTTGTGGAATCGGTCCCTATTCCACCACCTACCCAAGACGGTCAAACAAGAGGGCAGGGAAACACATGGCAGGCTGCACTGCAAGGCTGTGGGTGTGTTCATCAGCTGTGCAGGCCTGTCCTGACTTGTGAGCCAAGTGTCAATCTGGCGACCAGAATGTGTGAATGCAGTCCAGTCCTGGGACACGCTGCCCCCCCCCCCCCCCCCCCCCCCTATCCCCCATGAAGGTCCTTTCTACCAGCACTGTCCCACCAACCCCTACGGTATGAAGCAGCAGAGGGAGGCTTGCCTTGAAGGAGCGCTTGTAGATGTAGACGTCGAGTCCTCCCTCGATCCTCTTGGGCTTGCTGAAGAGGATCAGGTCCTCAAAGAGGAAGACATGGCGTTGGCACTTCCTGCGCCCCAGGTTGACACTGAACTCATCCTGGCGCACCAGCTGCCCCTGCTCCTTGAGGTTCACCTGGGTGCAGAACATGATCAGTTAGGCAGGAGGAGGGACATGCAGGGACCAGAGAAGTCACACAGTCCCCTGTGAGTAAAAACAGCCCGACAGTCATCTGTGGCAGCCAGCCAGCCAGCCAGCCAAGGAAGAGCCAAGGGATGGAGAGACAGACGAGAGGAAGACAGGTCACACCAACTCATTCCTCCCACCGGGGCAGCTTGCTTCGGTCAAGGCCTGGAACCGCTGCCCCTCAGAGTACCAGTCTGGTCTGGCTCACCACCTGTCAGGCCTGTCCTGTGTGGCTGGTGGTATGTGGCTTGGCACATGGTGCAGAGCAGCCATGCACAAGTTGCAGTGGGAACCCTTTTCCCCTAACAGGCTACACGATAAGGTGAAGTGAGGCAGAGGCCTCAAGTGGCAGAGCCGTTTACAAATACTGGGGAGTTAGGAAGATGGGCACAGAGGGAACACCGGCTTCAGAGGTAGGGAGGGAGAGGTACAGAGATAAAAAAGGGGGGAGAATAAACCTACTACCAATATACAAACCAAACAAACCAGAAAACGAAGAGGAAAAAAAGATATTCAAGATATACACAAATAAAATCTGTTATTCAGAATAAATAGATTCTAATCAAGTTAAATATCCTAAAATAAAACAGCCTACAAAATATGACCACAAACTCCCACGTCTTCCATGTTTATTAATGGCAACATTTTGTAGGTTAGGAATGTTTATTAAGGAATAGTTTACTTGCTTAGATTCTATTTATTCTGAATAGCAGATTTTGTCTGTAGTAGTGGAAAAGAGCAAGAGTCCCGTAGCATCTTAAAAACTAACAAAATTTGTGGTAGGCTACAAGCTTTCGTGAGTCACTGCTCACTTCTTCAGATATCTTCCGTATCTGAAGAAGTGAGCAGTGACTCATGAAAGCTCGTAGCCTGCCACAAATTTTGTTAGTCTTTAAGGTGCTACTGGACTCATATTTCATTTGTGTATACCCTGTATAAATCTTTTTTCTTCAGTCTTTTCTGGTTCACCCCGTTGCTCAGCTTCCACTGCCTTTCCCAGAGCTCACAATTCAACAGGCCCAGAGAGACCTGGGAGCAGCCTGAATCTTAGCAGGAGCTGCCTCTGCCCCCCAGCCCCTCCTTGGATCTCTGACCCTCTCCCACCACTCAGCCCTCGCCTGATGGGACGTACGTCGCAGTTTCGAATGGCGTCCATAGCCAAGAGGTCATTGCCGTGCCGCAGCTGGAAGCGCACCATCTCCTCGGCAGCCCGCAGGTAGACCAACTCCTGTTCCTGCGCCTCCCCACACTGCTTAATGAGGTCCTTCAGCAGGAGGGCATACATGCTTCTGCGCTGGATTGGCTTCAGGAGGTAAGAAGCCAGGTCCATCTTGTCCCCAAGCTGCATCTGCTTGAACTGAAAGCCAAAGTCAGAGGCAGACCCGTAACCATGGTGGGGCAAAAGCGGGCAGTGCCCCATCAATCATTTGCCATGCCCCTCCAATCAGTATTACAGGTTGCTGTGAAATGTGTCACACGTCTTTCAGGGATAGATTTTCTTTGTAAAAAAGGAAGGAGCTGAGGTAAAAAGTGTGAATCCTGTCATAAAGCTTCCAAGGGTGAATTCTCTATGCAATTGGCTAGAACAGAATTAACAGTTAGCAGGGCTGAAGAGTCCTGATTTTAAAAGCCTTCAGGGCTGTTGGGTGGCACCTTTAAAAGCCCTTATAGTTAGCCATTTAGAGAGAAAAGAAGGTTGAATTTACAGTTTCAGGTTTCAGTAAGTGGAAGAAGGCTCTCACATTTGTTTAATTCTGCAAACTATGTAAAACAGTTGCTTGGGAGGGCATTTTTATAAAGCGTATACAGAGTAGGAATGTACATACACTATATATTTTTGATTTGTTGTTTGTTCTATCATGCTCTTTCAGTGCTGTTTTCATTTTTTGTAATTCCATTTTCTGCATTGCTTGACGTAAGCATGTTTGATACATTTTATTGCGTTTATATTAGATCTCTCATGCTGTTTGATTACAATGTTCTATACTATTTAATCCACTTTGAGTTTCAAGTAGAAAATCGGTAAATAACTAGTAAAGAATATATAATAAATAAATAACGATGGGGTGACCACCGCTGTACTCACTTGCCTCCCCCAGTAAGAATTTTCTGGCTACTGGCCTGGTCAGAGGTGACCGCAGGGGGAAGAGACTGGGACACTAAAGCAAATCAGGAGCCAGATTAGCCGAGTGGTCCGAGCAACACTGCAGGGGGCACTTGGCCTGGCCAGCAGCGACAGGCTGCCAATGCTTGCTCAGCTGGCTCCTGGTTGCCGGTGGCCCTCCAGTGCAGGGCTTCACCCAAGACTCTCCCAGTGAGCCGAAGTGCCCGTCTGCCCTGGATGACTGAGCAGCACTCTATGACCAGCAGTCAGCAGACGGAGGAGCTTGAATCCAGACCGCAGCTTCCCTGGGCCTTGCGTGAGCTCTACCCCAGGAGCCTAGGCACTCTCTTCTAAAGGGGAGGGAGGAGGGAAGCGCGGGCCTTCATTCTCAGGGCAGATTTTTACCTTGAAGAAAGTGTTTCCGCGGCTCGCCAGGAGTGCGTCGGACTTGGGCTTGTTTTTGCTGTACAGTGCGTACATTCCAAACTGGTCTTTCTGCAGAAGGGTTAGAAACACAATACGAGACAGGCCACAGATTTCTCATTTTCCAAGTTGCTATGTGCCTTTGGTACCATGATGGGGTATCCCAGGAACAGAGGCATGTCTACAGGCAGGCTACAAGTGGGAAACGTAAGGCCAAGCATGGGATGGAGGTGCCCCCTGTGCTGACTGCCAGAGGCCCCCAGTGGCTTCCTCTGTGGCAAGGACTTTGCTGAGACCCCTTGCATGTCTCCTGGCTGATATCTGGTCAGCTCCCCAGGATCAGTTTTCTTCACCAACACCGTGAAGAACTCGTCTCACCAGCTTCTCATCCCATCCACCTGGCCAGCAACAGGCAGCCATACTCGAACAACAGGATTCAGGAAAACTGGCTGGACTCTTAATCCATTTCAGACCCTCTCCTGAGACCCTGCCCTGGGTGTCCTCACCATCACAGCCTGCAATGGTGGCAGGCTCCCTTTGAGAGGGCTTTTCCTGTGGTGGCACCTTAACTGTGGAAACCCCTTCCCACAGCTGTTGGCCTTGTTTCTTCATTTTTTGGTTCCTGGCTAAGGCTTTTTTTCCCTTTTACCCAGGCTTTTTGTTAATTCTGTTTTATTTGTTTGTATCTGATTAGTTCAGGGGGTGTGCACGTGAGTGTGCATGGGCGGGGGGGAGACAGGGAAGGAAGTCGGGAAGATCCTCCTAGCTTGCTAGCAGCAGCTCAGTATCACATGGATTTTATTTCTGAAGCCATCCAGGAAGCCTGAAGGAGCAGGACAGTGCTCCCTTCGAGGCCGTTCCTGACCCTTCCATTCCTCTCCCCTGCTACCAATCCCCAGGCGCAGCTCACATGTCTCAGGAAGCAGTGGCTGACGCGCAGAGGGTGGTTGCAGCAGCTCTCCAGCTCCCGCAGGAAGTACTGGCTGTGGAAGTCATAGAGCTTCTCCAGGTTCCCAAAGATGACGCTTCGCTTCCCCCTCAGGTCCTGAGGCAGGTCCACACGCTCCATCTCGGGGAAGTAGCTCTCAATGATGTAGCGCAGGGACCGGACATACTCCTGCTCCGTTGTCACCATCTCGTCGATGATGTGCCGCAGTTTGCTGTCCAAGAAACAGGAGGGGGAGGAAAGGGAGGAGCTGACGATTCTGAAGAGCTTTACATTCCAGTGCAACACAGCCCAGCAAAGCACCACAGAAGGGTTGCTTCTGTTGTGCGGATGCAAATACATCAAGCCCCTCGACAGCACGGGAGGTGACAACACAGCAATGGACTCCTGTGAAGAGGTACGTGTCACTGATTTCAGACTGCTGTTCATAAAAGTTGGTTTGCTGTGATGTGCAGCTCCTGCAATCAGCCAGCACGCTCTACAGATGCAACCAGAAGCAGGTGGGCATTCTGCGAGGTGGGTCCGAGGCAGCCAATGAGGATTTTTCTCTGTGGCCCTCTCCAGCTAGGCCAATCGGTCCAACCATCAGCCACGTTGCCAGCAGAGGCACCATGCCTGTGTGTCTGCATATGGGAGGGAGGGACCAGGCTGCCCGAGCACTGCACCGTGCCAGCCTCCCCTGGAAGGCCTCACTGCTTCCTCTTGGGATCCATGCCACTCCCTTCCCAGACTAAGACCAGGAAGAGGAATCCAAGGGAGAGCCAGAACCCCTCCCTCAGAAGACAAGACCCCTGCCCACTGGCTGCTGCTTGACGGGGGGACGACAGGTGACAGGCAGACACGCTTTCTTGGCTCGTTTCTGGCCTGCCCTTGCCCACACATCCCTATCTCATGGCACGTGGAGAACATGATCTGGGTTAAGGAAGGAGGAAGATTCCCCTGCTTGCCACAATGGCCTTTCCCCCGAGTTTCAGTTCTTCCCTCATCTGGTTGGTCTAGACCCACCCCACGACAGTAAATGGCACCTGAGATGACAGAGGCTTCCACAGTGTAAACATCCACTGCTTTTATTCCACTTCAACTGTCATGCAGAGTCAGACTGACACACAAGCTCAGCTACAGCCTAGGGCCTCAGATTACGAGGGTCCTCTAAATACAAATACATGAATATAATCACTAAAATACCATTGGGAGGGTAATGCTATGGGGCCTCCTAAATCTGACAGCGTCTTGGGACAGCAGTATTCAGGTGGTTCTCAGGAAGAACCACCTTCATGATTGTCGTCAACCAAATGAGACACATGTCCTTCCGTCCCTGGTGGGAGAGGCCTGCACCTCAGGGGAGCTCGCAGTTTCACTGTTCCTCTGACAGGAGCTGTTTCAAAGGCGGGAGCGACCTGCTCACCCACAAGCCCCTCTGGGCAAAGACCTTGACAGTTTTCCTGAAACATGGGGAAGGTGACACATTGGAGAACGGCACTCAGATGAGCCACATGTCAAAGAACTACACGTGGCTCCTGGGCCACTGAGTGAGTGTCCCCTGCAGTCATAACTTCACCCAATTTGTAGATTATGGTAGAGCTCTCTGGCACACAGATCTCGAACTCCCGGCTTACTCCTTCAGTTCCCCAGGGAAGGGATAACTAAACCCTGTTTCCGTCTGCAGCCTGGCTAAGCCCACAACCCAGCGGGGCGACCCTGGCCCTTGGCATACCTGCCCCAGCTCTTGTTGGCCTCTGGCACAGACGCACTGCTCCTCTGCTCCTCTTGCTCGCAGCCTGCAGTCCAGTTGGCTGGGCCGAGGTGCTGCCGGGCTGCACCAGGCCAGTCCACCAGCTCGGTGCTGCTGACTTCCAGCCCTCTGATGAAGACCCCCGTGTTGCCGTAGCGGGCCGGCTCACTCAGAGCCCGCTGGCAGCTGGAGCGTAGGCTCTCGGCGCAGGCCAGGTCGAAACTCTGGGCCTTCCTCAGGATTCTTTTGGGAAACGGCTGCCTGGAGGCTGGGGTGGAAGGGCAGGAAGGCGAGGCGCCCAGGGCTTCCACAATGCTCTCGAGGGCCGACTTCTCATCCCATGTGCAGTGGGGTGGCCTTGGAGCCTCAGGAGTGGCGGTTTGCAGTACAATCCGCTCCCCAGCTCCAACACCCTCTCGCTGGCCTGCGGGATTCTCCTTGTCCCCCCCAGAAGGCTGCCTGGGCCTCCCCTGGCAGTGAGGCACACTTGAAGCCACGCCAGCGACCAGCCCCCAAGCGGCCCCCTCCGAGGGCAGCCTGCCCTCCTGGCCGGGCAAGCCCCACTCTCCCTCTGGACACAGAGACCTCTTGGTCCTCAGGGCAGCCTCGAGCTTCATCTCGAAGGCCAGCTTGGTCTCCTGGCACTTGGACCACGCAAACTGCCACTGCTTCAGGCCATTGCTGCTCCGCAGCTGACACGCCAGCTCCTTTGCCTCCTGGAACCTGGCCTTGCCCAGCTCTGGGTGCTGCTCCTTGTAGCTCTCCAGGCATCTGAGGGCTGCTGAGCAGTGCTCCCGGGAGCTGCAGTCCTCCATGCTGATGCTGGCGAGCTGTCGCATCCCTTCCAGTGCCCACTCGTATGCCTGCAGGGGGAAGGGGGGTGGAACAAAGAGTTTAGCTGGTGAAAACACAGAAATGCTACTTGGCGTGGGGGGGAGGGGCCTAGCAGAGTGTGTGGGGGGGGTTGGCGGCAAAACAAGTGTCTCTCTATATGAGGCTTCAGCTGTGCCAGGCCCTGTCATCAGTCTGAATGCCAGCCAAGCTCGTCGAAGATCTGCTCGCTTCTCTGCCAGGCCGCGACAGAGACAGCAGCTTGGTCTCCGAAGGGTTTCCCTGGGGGAAAGGCAAAAGACCGGGGCTTTGCTCGGAGCGGCCTGAGAAACACAGCCCTGCTCTTCAGTGCCTTCACGCGGGTCTCCTCACATCTCTCTCTGAGCCTGCCCAGCCACTCCCTGCAGCCCTTGAAACGCCTGCGGTGGCTGCTGCCATGTCCGTTCCACATCCCCAAGCCTTGTGGGTGCTAGGAGTGGGCTGGCCCGCCCCAACACTTCAGGCAAGGGACACTGGGGCCGCTGCAGCCCAGGCTGACTGTGATACTTGGATATGCATGCAACGCACAGGCACAGATGGCGGGTCGCTCTTCCAGCCTGGCTACAGCATTCGGGGCCTTCCGGGGTGATCTTGTAACCTGTTTCTGGTGTCAGGCCTCTCTACGGCTGCTCTTCACACCTGTCTTCACTTCCTCATCTATGTGATGTCTTGCACAATTACTGGAACATGCGCTTCTGTGTGCGCAAGTCCCTAAGGGATAAGCAGTGTCCAAGAGCGAGGTGAGATTGTTGTCCAAATGCCTCTCCTAAGGGTTCCAGGAGTAAGATAAGCCTGAGCTGCGAGACCTGCCTCCAAATGTCTACATCTGCCTTGCCCAGAAGTGGGCCAGGGGTTGCACACCAGGGACTGTAGGCAGAGGGTCCAGATCCTCTTGGAAAGCAGTGAAAGGAGGGCAAGCTTTGTTCCAGAGAGGGCTCCCAGCCATGACCCTCCCAGCTGCCTCCAAAATGAACAGGGGAGACCTCTGTCTGTCTTTCTCTTTCCCAGAGACAACACAGAGATTCAGAGGAAGGCCACAAAGCAGGACCTGGGTACTTCCTGCAAAGAAATTTGAGCTCATCTACAAGTTTTGAAAATAACTGAAAACTTTGGAAAGCACTCTGGTTACGCTATGCGGTCCACGCAAACATTCTTCCCCTCGTGAGGGTACAACGTTAGCCCCTCAAGAGTCTCTCCTCTCATGGTCCTGAACTGCGTACCTGAAAAGACAAGTCCAGGTGCAGAAGGACATCCGTGCTGGATTCCCTCCTCATCCCCCAATGGTCTTGACTATGCCATTACCACCAGTTTGGGTTTTTTCAGATTGCGCAACAATCGAGCAACAGAGTCCCATCTAGCTCAGGGCCACTGCCAGCCAAAGGCCCCCTGGCAGAGATATAGCGAGCTTCGAAACCACAGAAAAACCTGGTTACATTCAAATGGTTCTTGGATGCTGCCAGGTTCACTCAGCTCAGCCCACAGCAACTGCCGGCATGTTGTCTCACCCTGATGGGCTAGCCTACCTACGCTGTCATCGTTTCTGCATCTTGAGCCAAGCAGGCCCTACGGCACTCTCAAGGGCTGCAGGAGCCACTCCGCTTCGCTTCCTCCAGGGCCGTGTTGATGTCTCAGTCTGCCCCTGATCCGGCATAACAGAAGATGAGGGGCAGATGCAGGAAGAAGGCAAGAAAGGCCTCCTTCAGCATCGCGTCAAGGACAACAATGGGGTTTCCTCAGTCACAGGACCCCATTAGCCCAGGGTAGTAGCCTTCAGCTGTGGGCTTACCTGACGTCCTGGAGGCGATCCTCAGGAACCCGGTGCATGAAGGTGGGGATGGATGCCCTCGCTCCCCCCCACTCCCCAACATGCGTGGCATCAGGCCCTGCAAGTGACTCTTTGGAGGGGCAGATGGTCCTTTCTGCTGTGTTTTGGCCAAGGGGAATTTGCGTCAGAACAATCCCAGCGTCGTTCCCACTGGGCTGCAGTTCTCATGCAGCATGGATCAGATACACAGAGAATGCCAGTGTAAGTAAATGTGTGGCCCTGGTCTCCAGTGGGGCACTCAGAAATGAAGCCCTGGGGGGCGGGGGGACCGTTTGACAAATACATGTCCAAGTCAACTGAGGAAGGAGGAGGAGAGTTGGTTTTATACCCCTTTTTATACCTGAAGGAGTCTTTGAACAGTTTACAATCGCCTTCCCCTCCTCTCCCCACAACAGACACCCTGTGAGGTAGGAGAGAGTTCTGAGAAAACTGTGACTGGCCCAAGGTCACCCAGCAGGCTTCACATGGAAGAGTGGGGAATCAAACCCCGTTCTCCAGATTTAGAGTCTACCGCTCCTGACCACTACACCAGCTGGCTCTCTGAGCATCCCCGGGCTCCTTGCAAAGGGTTCCTGGTGCCTGTTTGCTTTGCTGCATCTGCTCCTTGAAGAAGGCATATCCTATGCAGGCAACACAACAACATACAGCGTGTGCTAAGAAGCTTCCCCAACATGGGATGCACAGCCACAGGCGCCTTACGGAAGAGTGCAAAAATCAGGGTGTGGGGCAGAAGAGAGGAGCAGATGCACAGCGCCTCGCACCTCCTCCCCTCCCCATCCTTCTTTGTGCTAAGTGCCCGGCCTCCCTCATTGCACATGCAAAGCAGCTGGGACTGGGAAATCATTTGCAAACACAGGCTGCATCCACGAGTGGCAGCAGCAAACCCCCCCACACTCCATTCCCAGCCTCAGACAGACACACGTGATGAGCTCCCCCCCCCCGGGCCATCCATCAAATGAGTTCAGACAAGCGTGAATCCTGAATCTACCCACTAGGACCAGGCGGGCTCAACCTCTAACACCGTTTCAGAAAACTAGAGGGCTTTTTTGGCAGCTTTTCTAAAACAAAATGCAACCAAGTGCTATCACACACAGGCTGGCCCTTTCAGAAACTAGTTCTACTCAGTACCCAGCCAAAGGGACATGGAAAATGTGACCGGGACATCTGCTTGAACTTCATCAGGCCTTTTTTTAAAAACAAGAAGAAGCCAGGAGATAATCAGAGTCTACCTGGTAGGTAGATATAAATTTGTCACAGAATCACAGAGTTGGAAGGGGCCAGACAGGCCAACCAATCCAACCCCCTGCTCAAGGCAGGATCAGCCTAGAGCATCCCTGACAAGTGCTTGTCCAGCCGCTGCTTAAAGACTGCCAGTGAGGGGGAGCTCACCACCTCCCTAGGCAGCTGATGCCACTGTCGCACAACTTTGACTGCAAAAAAGTTTTTCCGAATATCCAGCCGGTACCTTCCCACCCTTAATCCAAACCCATGATTGCGAGTCCTATCCGCTGCTGCCAACAGGAACTGCTCCCTGCCCTCCTCCAAGTGACAGCCCTTCAAATACTTAAAGAGAGCAATCCTGTCCCCCCTCAACCTCTTCTCCAGACTAAACATTCCCAAGTCCCTCAGCCTTTCCTCACAGGGCTTGGTCTCCAGGCCCCCTAATCATCCTCATCGCTCTCCTCTGCATTCTGTCCAACTTTCCAAAAAGCCTGCTTGCATCTTTTTGCGCCTTCAACAGGCTCCTTTGATTGACTTCAGACTGCACAGTTTGAATGAGGGCAATGCACACAGGTAGTCACTGGGTGCCAGGGAGAGGGAACTCTGTTTGCATGCATAATGCTTGAGAGGCAGTGTGGTGCAGTGGTCAGAGTGTCAGACCAGGACCTGGGAGATCCAGGTTTGAATCCCCACTCGACCAAGGAATTTCACTGGGTGACCTTGGATCCAGTCACACTCTCCCAGCCTAACCTGCTTCACAAGGTTGACGTGAGGATAAATTGGAGGAGAGGAGAATGCTGTTGGGGAGAAAGGCAGGGTACGAAGGAAATAAAATCGATAAAAATCAATCATTCTCCATTTGAGACTTCAAGGAGCAGGGCTGGAAAAGACTTCTGCAGCCTCAAATCCTCACAGGCTAGGGTCACGTCTGAGAGCAGACCATGGGAGCCACTGTACAGAATCAGTATAAAGCCAGCTCCTGATGAAAAGCCTGCAGATCCAAGACAGATCCAAATCTTACTGCATATAATATATGGTTCAGAATCTGGCCCCTGGGTATTCCAGAGTCAGTAGTTTCTAGCTCTAGTTCTTCACAGCTGAAGAACAGAGGAAGAGTTAGTCTTTATATCCCACTTTTCTCTACTTTAAGGAGTCTCAAAGTGGCTTACAATCGCCTTCCCTCTCCTACCACAGGCACCTTGTGAGGCAGGTGGGGCTGAGAGAGTTCCGAGATAACTGGGATTGGCCGAAGGTCACCCAGCTGGCTTCATGTGGAAGAGCAGTGGGGAATCAAAGCCGGTGCTTCAGATTAGAGTCTGCCACTCTTAACCACTACACCACATGGGCTCTCCCTACACCACGCTGTTTGGACATCAATGCTGGAAACTATGGGTGCCATATGGCACTACTGCATGAACTGTGGAAAATCTGTGGTTGGATCTCAAAATGTCTTTAATTTTATAGAAGAGCAGTTGCTCCCTAAATTGAATTGGGGCCACCATGCTGGAGGGAGGAATGGCTAATCCAGACCCCTGCCCCCACCCCATATTGTTTTCTTGATCTAAACCCTAGTAGGAAAAATACAGGTACCTAAATACTTCTCCCTCAGGAGGACAAAGAGCAGCTTTTAATTTTTTTTGGAAGGGGGGAGAAGATTTAGCTCGCAGAAAAGACCTTGAAGTTGTTCAACGGTGCAGGACAGTTCCTGTTCATGTTCTCCCCATATACATCTTATGCATCATTTCCTTTTCCCTCTGCCATACCAGATCTTGCTTACAGTTTTCAAAAGGTTGCAAAGGGCAGAACCACAAGGATTTCCCTTTCTGGAAATACTGAAGCTGGCCAGCCTAAAAAGGCTGATGAAGAGTCTGGACTCATTCAAGCCAATCCAGGGACATGAACCACTTCCCGAGACTTGGTGGCTTTGTGCCAGGAAGGGAGCATGGAAAGATGCTAACACCGACAATCTCACTGTACCTCCTGCCGGCCTCTTTAAGCCTGCAACAGGCTAGTTAACAGCCAGCTTTTGTCTCTGGGAGCATAATGTGTCTAACTTTCTGCTCTTTTGGGAGCCTGTCTGGGGAGACTCTACAGCTAGTCGCTCCTGGGTATTTGCTGGATCACATCTGTAGCACAGCCAAGTTTTTCTGCTCCTTTTCTTGCTCAGTTGCCACAGTTTCCCTAAGCTTATGCTCAGCTAGTGTGCAAGGGTGGGATTTCCGAAGGGGCAAGCAGATTTTGCTCCAGAAAGAATTTCAAGCTGGCTGGGGAATCTTGAAATCGAGTTAAAACCTAGGAGACTAGACCCAGGGAGATCTTAGGAGGGAAATGTTAGAGTCCAGTGACACCTATAAGACCAACGAAGTTTTATTCACGGTGTGAGCTCCCTCTGGGTCTTCCTCACCACTAGGGGGCATTCTTCCTCCACAGTGCTCTGGAAGCAAACCTTGAGACACTGAAAGAATGTGAAGCTGGGGGGGGGGCTTCTGGGCTGATAAATCAGGCTAGCACTGTCTAAAGCGAGCCTGCTTCTCCTACTACCCCCTCCCTCCGTCTTGGTTTGTAAATCAGCAGCCCTGAGTCACTAATGTTTGAAGGAAACGAACTCTGTAAAAACCTTCCTGGGAGCCTCTGCTCAAGAAACGGAAAGCCCAGAGAACTGTCATTTCATTTTGCCAGTGCTCAAAAGCGGAGCCCAAAGGCCAGCCGGCAACAGGTCTTTGCAGTTTGGTTCAGAGGACCAAAACCCAACCCTGGCCTCGCGACTGCCTCACTGCCTCCATTAACCAGTTATGGCTGCCCAGGTGCGGCCGACAAGGAGGTCTCTTCTCATGAGCTAGAAACCAGATCTTGGTGCTTCCATACCTAGGCCAAACTCACCAGCACACGGATGTCCCTGCTCCCTGTTGGCTCTGCTTGCGTGAGAAATTCCTTCCAGACGCCTGAGGGCTGCCTGCCCCCATCCCCCCCCCCCCACAACACCCAGACAGAAAGAAACTGCATCCACTCAAAGACACAACCAGAACAAAAAATGCAAAGGGAATCCGCTTGAGCGGCATACCTTCATGGTTCTGCCAAGAGGGTCCATAGTGCAGAGCAGGCATCAAGCCCTGGGGCTGCTCTCCCTCATCCTTTGCAGTCCAGCCTGAAGGCCCAAGCAACCAATGAGGGGAGCCCCCTGCACAGGCAAACGAAATACCGAAATACCAGATGGACTGCCCCTGGTAACTGGAAGAAAGAAGGGGGGCGGGGGGGCAGGGCTGCTAGGACAGCTGGAGCCAGCTGGAGAGGAGGACCCAGGCAGCCAACCTTGTGTGTTCAGCCACAGAGCACCGCTCCTTGTCAAAGAGTGCAACCTCTGCTCTCACAAAAGACACATACACACTTCCAAAGGCTGTCAAGATCTCTCACAAGCACAAGGAGCTCCTTGCGTGCCCACTCAGTCTTCACGAGCTTACCGTTACCAGCCAATGCCTGCCAGCTCATTCTGAATCTCACAGCACACAGAGGAATTGCGGGGTGGGAAAGGACGGCAACTGAGGTATCCCATCTTGGATCCTAATTGGGTCACCAGTTATGCGCATCAGGTACAGCAGTTAAGAGTGCTGGACTGAGAAGTGGCAGACCTGGATTCAAATCCCACCCCCCCTACCCTGGAACCTCGCTGGGTGACCCTGGGCCAGTCATTTTCTCTCATTCTAGACTTCCTCATAGGATTGTTGTTGTGAGGATAAAATGCAGGAGAGGAAAATGATGCTGTAAGCACCTTTGGGTTCCCACTGAGGACAGCAGTCGGGTTTAAATATCGAAATGCTCCTATAAATGCTCACTTCCTAACAAAAGCTGAACTGCCTTGCCAATAAAACAAGCTCCTGCCTTTGGACAGATGATAACTGTGAGTTTCAGCTGACTTTCAGTCTGACTCAGGGAAGTGAGCGGTCGTTCAACAGGCACAAAGGGTGAAGGGGGGGGGGTGTTCAGGGAGCCCTCGGAGCCTGAGGGAGGGGGAGGAGGAGAGGAAGAAAAGCAGCCCAGCCCCTGAAACTGGGCCACTGAACTCTGGAAACACCTCTCCCAGCCCCCCAAACAATAATTACATTGAAGTGTTAAGTGTTTACTCTGCAATAAGAAAGAGAGTTGCTCCTGATAGCCTCACTGTGAAATGCATCTGCCTTGTGGAAAGTGCTTGGAACTGGGGAGGCCTTTATGAACTTTATTTTTGGCTCAGCAGAAGCTTTAAAGGTCAAGAAAAGAAAGGTTGTGGGGGGAAAATACTAACGCCTCAGCTTGGTCTTGTTTCCGGGCGTAGAAGTTTTGCTGAGTGTGGTGATGAACAACTGGGGGGGGGGGGGTTTTTTTTGAACCACCCCTTAAGGGGGTGTTTCTTTGAACCAGCCCTTACAAGGAGAGCCACTGTCCTGTCATGGCTACAGAGTCAGGCTAGGGTCTTGGACACCCGAGTTCGAATCCTCACTTTGCCAGGAAACATGCTGGGTGGCCTTGGGCCAGCTGCTCTCTTTCTCTGCCAGACCTGAGAGAGGCCATGGCTCAGTGGCAGAGCAACTGCTTTGCATGCAGAAGGACCCAAGCTCGGTCCCCAGCATCTCCTGTTAAAAGGATCAGGCAGCAGGTGATGTGAAAGACCTCTGTCTGCCTGAGACCCTGGAGAGTCACTGTCTTGATGGACCGTTGGGTCTGCTTCAGGATGTGTTTGTGTGTGTAACCTACTCCATGGGCATGTTGTCATAAGGATAAAATGAAGGAGGGGGAAACCACATAGACTGCCCTAGACTCCTCAGAGGAAGGTAGAACAAAAATGATAGATACAAGATATACGGCATTCTCTGACCAGCAGGGAAGGCCCTGCTACCTCCGCACCCCCACCCCCACCCCCGATCTCACCTGGTCAAAGAATTCATAGAGTTTGGCGGTCTGGTCGATCCGGCTCCTGCTGGCCTCCAGTTGGCTGCAGAATCCCTGTAGCTGGTTCCTCCACATCTGCAGTTTGACTCCATACGCTGCATGCAGCTCGGTCAAAGAAAAGTCTTCCCACCTGCCCATCTTCTGCAGAGCTTCCCGTCCCCTTTGGCAGTATTCCTGAAAGCGAAGCTGATCGGTGAGGAAAGGCCACTGAGAGAGCACACCGGTTCTTGGAGTGCTGCAGAGATCCAGTGAAGGACGATGACTTTTTCAGCAGGGCAGCCAGCCCTGACAGCATACCTGTGAGGCAGGTCGGTGGCTTGCTATTGTGCGGAAAACTTATGAAACGTAGGCCGAGTTTCAAGCGGTGGAACTCAGCTCTCTATAACAGCATGTTATGTTTTCCTCACACTGTTCATGGGTCCACATGATCAGATGTGTGTGGTGAGTTCTGTTATTTCTCAAGCACGTACATGCGTCATGGACTGGGACATAACCCTAACCCTCGTGCCATTTCCCCAGCTGGAAGGCTCTGTTTGCCCTGTCGGGGGGCTCCACGTGTAATGATGTGGTACACCTCTGTCTCCCCAAAAGGGCAAAGAGCCCCCCTGGGCAGTTTCAGGCCCTTTCTTCATGTATGCTGCAGTTCTGGTCCAAATCAGACCCGTACATGCCTGGGGATTAAGTTCCCAGCATGGAACACGTAGCACACAGCTGATCACATGGACCTAGGGAAGTTCGAGGAGGACACAAGGAAAACATACGGCACCATTAGGCCCTCAGAACAGGGCTTTTGCATAAAGAAGGAAGAGACAAATCCATCACTCTTTAGAGTTACTAGCTTCACCTCATTGTCAGCCTCCCATCTAAGCCCTGCAATCTGTACGTAAGGTGTTTGTGGGCTCAGTGGGCCCTCAACATGTCAAGTTAGGTGTGGGTTCTGAATCTGCTCTAAAAAGGTGAGAGATTTCAGCAGGAGGAAGGGAGTCAGCATCCGCTCTCCATAGCACTACAATAAGGGAACCTTCCCAGCCAAATCTCTGCCACCTCTCCCAACAGGCAGCCCAGCAGACAATGGGCCAGCAAGGCTTGCAAAGGCAGGGAAGATGCACTGACCTGGCTGGGAATCTCATCTTTCTAAGAGAGCATTCATTCACACTCTGCCCTGGTGGTGGCCACCCTCTCCTAGGGTCTGTCTGAGGTTTTAATCCCAGTCAAACCAGCCTTTCACAAACATTACAGAAAACGGTTTGTGAGCATTCCACTGCTGCTGCCATCCATCAGAGGCCAGGATACCTAACAACATTTTGTGACATCAGAGAAGTTCATCCAACTGAAGCCTGGGGCTTTACTGCTGTCATAAACAAAATCTTTCCACACGCATCATTCACCACAGAACTGAGGGGAGAGGGGGAATAAAATCCACCCAAGTATCCTGCAACATTCATAGTGACATTCCCCCCCCCCCCAACATGGCTGTAAACATGAAAGTTCTTGAGGTTCAATGAATGTTAGAAACCAGTATGATCCAAAACCAACTGGGAATTCATGCAATTGCCAGTGCAGGCATTGCTCCATCAAGTCACTCTGGTCTATAGTGCAGATATCAATGCTTAGCCACGTGCTGGCACACAGGTGACCTACAGCTATGGCTTTATTTGAGCCCAGGGGTCCCAAACACTGGCCTGTCTGTTCAGTACTAGAGCTCAGCCCTGGCACAGACTACCCAAGAACAAAAAAGAGGCTGTCTCTGTACAAATGCAGTCTACCACAGGCTCTGCTTTGCAGATGAGGCCATGCACTCACATTAGCAACCAGCTCAAAATCCTGGCACTGCTTCTGTGCTCGAAGCAGGACCTCCAAAGAATCATCCATCTCGCTCAGCTCTGCCAGCCGCCTCTGGCCAACATTCTCAATCCAGCTGCTGACCTAAGAGGAAAAAAAGGAGGTTCAAACCGTTGCCTGTTATTGGTTTAATCAATACTGGGGAGCTGCCCAGCTCTGGGAAGAATGCAAAAGTCAGCATTTGGGGAGCACACATGCCACTTCTACGCCTGCCAAATCAAGGGAGACTTTTTGCTGCTGCTCTTAAAGCCCTAGGGTACCAGCCAGCCAAACCAGTGTGGTCCAGAGTATCTTCTGTTGAGTTTGGGCATAAAAGAAGCAAGTTCAAAAGCCAGCTCCACAGACTGCAATATGGGTGAATGTGAAATTGATCTATTTTGACCAGCATTTATTCCCAGCGATCCACACCACCAACTGCCCTTTCCCAGACTTCCTGAGGAAAAGAAACCTCCTGAGTAGGAAAGGCTCAAGCTTCAGAGTTCGGATCCTGAGGGGCTGTGGCTCAAGGACTGTGGCTTAGTGGTAGAGCATCTGCTTGGCCTGCAGAAGGTCCCAGGTTCAATCCCCAGCATCTCAGTTAAAAGATCTGGCAGAAGGTGATGTGAAAGACCTCTGCCTGAGATCTTGGAGAACCGCTGCCAGTCTGTGTAAACTATGCTGACTTTGATGGACTAAGAGTCTGATTCAGTATAAGGCAGTTTCATGTGTTCATGCTGGCATCAGAATGTACAACAGCAGCTGGGGCACTAAGAATCATGGGAAACGTAGTTCCTGCAATTCTCATCTTCCCTGGGCACTGCCATGCATGTTCATGCCCTAAAGAGGAGGCCATCCTACAGCAGCAGTTCCCAGGAGTCCTCTCTGCCACCCCCTCCTCTCCTTAAATTACTTTGGGAGATGGGGCCGAGCAAATGGGTAGATTGGCTGCATCTAGTGCCTCCCCCCCCCCCCCCTCCCCCAATGCCAGCAGGCCTAATTTGCCAATTGGGAACTGAGTCTTCTCTAAAAGCAGATTAATTTGACACACCTGTGTATCTAAATTCAACTGATGTAATCAGACCCCTTTCTGTGCTGGAGATCACAGGTTCCAAATCTGAAAGAAGAGGCCTTCTTGCAAGCAGAGACGGCAAAAAGCTCTGCTGAGGCAGCCTGCACTAGGTCCGGGAGCGAAACAAGCCCACGAACCAGAGGCGGCTCCACCATGTTAGCAATGGGACATTCCAGTCTGCCACCCACCATCCCTAGTCTTGCCTGGCACTCGTTTAAGGCCCCCAGAAGGTGCCACATCACTGCCCATCTTGGTCCATGAGCACGTCCTGCCAGGCCTGAGCAAAATCGCAGAGCCGGGCTGCACAAACACCCACAAGGCCAATGACAAACCTCTCGGAAGCACTCTTCAAAGGCCTCAAAGTCCATCACCAGCTCCAGGGCCTGGATTCGCTTGTTGGAAATCTTCACCAGCTGGTGGATCCCTTCGTCCACCTGGTTGTAAAGTGCAATGGCTGCCTCCAGCGCATCTCTGAGAGGGAACCACAGGCGGTTAGTAGACAGAGCACCAGCTCCTTCTTACAAGCTCTGGTTAGATGCTGGCGCTCTCTCCATCCATCCCTCCCCAGCAGTGTTCCCTCTAAGCTGAGTTAGTGTGAGCTAGCTCACAATTTTTTAGTCTCCGGCTCACACATTTCTGTCTTTGCTCAGGAAGGATGGCTCCAGAGCAAGCTAATTTACGCAGTAGCCAAATTCGTCGCTAACAACTTTAATGCCAGTAGCTTTGTTAGCCGCCCTGAGCCTGCTCGCAGGATGGGCAGGGTATAAATATAATAAATAAATAAATAAATAATAAATTTTGTGCTCACAAGACTCCACAGCTTAGAGGGAGCATTGCTTCCCACCCCTATGCCACAGGATGGCTGCAAATATAGCTGTCCCCCCAAAAGAAGGCCTGGAACTGAAAGAGCGGAGGAAGCAGTGAAAGCCCCGAGAAGGTGCAATGAGGCCAGGAGGATGGGGAGGCCACTGAGAGGAGAAGAGAGGCTGACAGGGACACATTTGTCCAAATGACAGTTCCAGAGGGGGCAGCTGTGTCAGTCCATTAGGGCAACCATAAACAGGATTCCTGTGGCACCTTAAAGGCTTTTATTCTGGCATACGCTTTTGTGGACCGCAGCCCAGTTGTTCAGATGGCTGAAGAACTTTGCATTTCTGCTTACACGTTGATGGGCTGCCCCCCACCCAGCACTGATGCAAGCGGGGACAGAGGCCCTGAATGAGAGAGGACAGCTCTCTGTGTACCTGTACCTAAAAGTTGGCTGTCTCTCCGATACTACAGAAAGCCTCTTAAGCACATTGAACACACAGGTGCTCTCCAACATCAGTGCTGACCTGGCCTAGGACTTAGCATGGCAAGAAGCTATGCTGGTGTGAATGCAACTGCTTCCCTCTGTGGAGACGGGACAGCTGCCTTCCCACTTTTCTCGAAGAAGGGCTCTGTGTGACTGGAAGGCTTCCATAGCCCTCCATGGAAAGGACCCATCTTCGCTCTTTTGTATCTCTTAGGGCCTAATGATACCAACATCCAGTTGAACCGGACGTGCTGTGTTGTGACTTAAGATTCCAAGGTGCAAAGGAGGCTCGGTTTGGATAAAGCTTTGACTCAGTTGAGAAGGCTCTCCTATAAGCCTTGGTAGAGGATCTCCGAAAAGAAAGCCATAAAGCAGAAAACCACCCACGATGCCCCCCGTGCATACCTTCCGGATGGAATCATCCCCCCCCCGCCAATGCACATCCAGGACTGCAGAGTCAACAAGGCATGTGACAAGAAATGAGAGGCTTGGGTTCCCCCTAAGGTTCTTTTCCTTCATTATAATCACTCTTGTGGGAGGGGGAAAGGTTCCAAAAGCGGTTTCTGTAGGGGCAATGCCGAGTGCCAAACTATTAATTCTGGGGTAATTTGAAACTCGGATGTCTAAAATTTGTTTTTGGCAGGCTCCCTTTCTGAAGAATCTCTTCCCAAAGTGAGGCTCTTTCAGCCCTTGAGGGGGGAAGGGGATGAGTCATCCATGAGGATGAAGTGGCGAGGGGGGGGGCCCCGCTGGGGGTGACAGCTTTTTCAAAAAAGGAGTGAGCACATTCCCCAGAGCGACCAGAGGCTGCTGCTCAGTTTCTCAAATGTGGGCAACCTTGGGGCAGTCCCTTTAGGTTACCACAGCCCATGGCTGGAGGAAACCCCCTCTCCGGGACTCTGTTGCGGGTCTGGGAGTTGCTCAGCAATAGGCACAGCTATGGCAACCAGAACTGTCCTCATGCAGTGCTGACCCCCAATGCCATAACAAAGCTAACTTGTGCGGTAGACCAGCGGGCGGCAATGATTGGTCCCTGGCACAGAACAGAACCATAGCTCTCCTTAAAGCAGGGCTGGGGCAGCCACTGGAGTGAGCCAACACGTGATCCAGAGAAGGCCAAGGCCTTCATAAATGCAAAAAATAAATAAATGAGTGAAGTACTTCCTGAGAGGCCTGAAATTCCCATTCACAACTCCCTGACTGATGTCTTGAGAACTGGCTGTTTGCTATGCAGCCTCTGTTGTACTCTGAACCGTTGGGAGGAAGATCCTTTGAAAAGGAAATTTTTTCAGCTATTTTTTAACTATTTTTCTGCTAAGGTAGTACTACTGGCTTGGAGCAGGAGCTCCAGACGTCCTACAGAGCGCAGGGGCTATGCAGAAACTGGAGAGGTCGGCCAGGGCCACTCCAATAGGAGCCATGCAACAAAAGAAATTTGCATAGCCTATCGAGGGAGCAGAGGCGTGACCTAACCAGTTGCTGGATGACTTCCCCCCACTGAAGGAGAACTGGCTGTTTGCTATGCAGCCTGCTGGCCCTCAAGTTCTTCTTTCAGATATATTTTGCCCTTTGGCCAGGCAGGGGACCTTTTCAAGGCAATAAAGCACTTTCTGGAGCACAATCAATACTGCTCTGGGCTAGCCAGTGTGTGAGGCCTAGCAGTTCTAACCGAGACGGACAAATCTGCACAAATGGGGATGCTCTAAGGTGCAGCTGTCTCACATATAGCCATGGAGATGTAGCTCTGACAGACAAGGAGACCAAAGCTTAAAGCAAGGCCCTTCAACTTCAGCGTCAAAGAGAGATGGTACAGATGAAGGCCGCCCTCTTCCGGTCATCTCCAGAACGGCAGCCTATAGGCCTCTCAACAGTCTCTGATGGGTCTGTGCCAGTGCCAGGAATATCAACGGACCCTGATGTGCTCTGTTCACTGAGAGAAGCTACATCTCATGAAGCTTCCTAATGCCAAACCAGATCACTGAGCCATCTAAGTTCATCACAGAGGGAAGGGTCTTTCCCTGGACCTGCTCCCTGAGATCTTTCCAGAGGGGATGCCGGGGACTGGACCTGGGACCTTCTGGCAGCAAAATGTGTTGGCTCAACCCCTCAACTATGGCCCCTCCCAAACATGCTCCCAAAAGCTTCTTTCCCACCTCCTTCCCTGGGCAGAGGCTGCAGGGGAGCTCCAGCTACAGAAAGCAGACTGGCTCCTCCCAAATCCCACCACGCCCACTGCACTTCGAGGAACAACCCGTTTCCCTCCCACAGCATGAGAAGAAATGGCCCTCCTTCTCTGCAAGCCACAGTGCTGACCGAGTCAGTCCATTTCCTCTCCTTGAAGTGCCTGCCGGCTTTTTCCTTCGGCACAGGCATTCCGCCCCCTGGCTTGACAGCGTGAACCCTCCACACCCTGCTGAAGCTTGCCTCAGAAGCTCTGACTCCATGAATTTAGGGTGCGCTTGTCCTGTTCACAGGTGAAAGCTCGTCTTCCTAAGCTTCTCTCAGCATGGAACAGAAAAAGCACTGACCTTTTTTTCTGGGGCCTGAACTTGGACCTACAGTTAAAGGACAAAGACCGATCTGGGAAAGCCCTACAGAGAGCTCCCCTGGAATGGCAGGTCTGTCTGACTGCTGCATGGCAATACATAACAACAGTTGTGGTATCAGAGGGAGGTTCTTTAATGAGGTTGAAGCTCCAGACATTTTCTCAAGGATTGGGGGGTGGGGGTGGTTAAGGGGTTTTATTTTGTTTCGTTTTTTAAATTTGAAATTTAGAATTGCTAACAGGCCTGAAGAAAAATGGATGGCTGTGGCTTTTCACAGCAAGGAGGGAAATAATATTCCCTGGTAAAGAATATTCCATTAAATTTTCCTTAAAGGGGCAGGACATTTCTTCCCTCCAGGCAGCTGGCAACCATATTTTAAACCACCTTGAGCCACAAGGGAAAAGTGGGAAACAAACAAACAAACGTTTGTAGTTAAACCAAAGTGAAAGATTTCCAGGATGGCGTTTCAAAAGAACAACACTTTCCCGAGACTTCAAAATCCAGTTCGTTGGAGGAAAGTCGGGCCTATGGTAGGTCCCTGAATGGTACTTGAAACAGTCCCCAAACAACTCCAGATCCTGAGCACATCACTTAGTGCAGTGACTGTGACCTGGTGGTGACCTTCACATGCAATTGGTGGGCAGCTACATTCAGGCCACTTGCCATACGGAGCACAGCTTAGCTCTACTGACAACTTGAGCTTTTCAGCGGGGCAGAAACACAAGGTAAACACACCAAACTTGTTTGACAATAAGGAAAGGGCAGCCAGGAGCCAAGGTCTTTGTAATGCACTGGAGTAAATCAATAAAGGCAGGGAGTCTGGCTGGAGGGGAAGAGACCCAAAGACCCCACTCACAATGACCTGTTTGCTCCTCTGGTAGGTAAGACCTCTCTGTCACTATCGAGTGTCACTCTTCAAGAGTCCAGTTGAGCTCCGTTCTCTCTTCCTGATTCCTGTGGTTTGCTCCAGACATCGTGAAGCAATGATACCTGCTTTGTTTCCTGACTTCATATACAAATGTCTAGCTAATGAGGACCCACCACACACACATACGATGAAGTTACGGTAGGGTCTGGAGATCTCCTGGAATTACACTGATCTCCATAGAAGAGAGATCAGTTCTCCTATGGAAAATGGGTGCTTTGGAGGGTAGGCTCTATGGCACGATACCCCACTGAAGCCCCTCCCCAAACCCCACCCTTCCTAGGCTCCAACCCCAGATCTCCAGGAATTCCCCAACCTGGAGTCGGCAACCCTAGATGGCATGGGCTTTAGTCCATAAAAGGTTAATCTGGAATGAAATCTCGTTATCCTTTAAGGTGTCACAGCTCCTCTTTAGCATTATATCAGCATTGGGAGGCTGATATGAAATACTAAGCAACAAAGGAAGAACCAAAATAAAATCACAACACAGTGCTATTGCGAATACACTTATTGACATACGTCTGAAACATTTACAGAGCATCAGCTTGTCAGCAAAAGAGCACAATTCCTCCCTGCCGGTGATGCACATTTTATTTGGAACACAATCAAAGCTTGGTTGGAATCATTTGAAAAAAATGAACCAAGAGCCAGTTACAAGAATGGTTTGCTTTGGGGTGGAACTCAAATGTCTTTGTCATGTGACCAGCTCTCTATGCAGGCCATATGCACCAGGGGGAAAGGATTGTATTTTAGCTTTCACGGGTGTTTCACAGTGCAGTCCTAAGCAGAGTTACATCCTCGGAGAGGGCCCCTGGTTCACTGGCAGAGCATCTGCTTGGCATGCAGAGGGGACCAGGTTCAATCCCCATCATCTCCAGTGAAAAGGTAGGCAATGTGGAAGACTTCCACCTGAGACCCTGGAGACCTGCCACCCATCTGAGTAGACAAAGCTGACACTGATGGACCAAGGGAAGCAGAGGAACGCCGCTCCATGCGTGGGCCGCCCTTCAAAGCCCACTCTTCCACAGACTGAGAAGGGTGTAACTCACTTAGGATTACACTGCGGGCGCCTGCAGTGTGCCACATGGGACAGGACAGTTTGTACTTTCCTCCCCAGCCCAGTGCCTTGGCCTCTCCACTTCCCTGCCAGCTCACCTGTAGTCCTCGGTCAGAGTAACACAGGACTCCTCCTTCCTCAAGCGGGCCAGCAGCGCCCCACCCTCCAGCTGCAATCGGACCAGCCGCGAGTCCTCAAGAACCGTCTTCATTAACTGCCTGTAGTGCTTTAACAAAGCATCCGCCTCCTGGGAAATTTCAAAACAAACCACAAAAAGTTCTGCCCGTAGTATTCTCATTTTTCAATCATTGCCCCTGCTTTGCTTTCCAGAATCCCAAGCACTCTGCTTCTTGTGACACGTCTGTCCCACCTAGAGATGTTCCTACCTCTGGATCTATAGACCTCTAGGACTACCCATGTTTCCGCGTACAAATCTTCATCAATGTCCTTTTAAAAAAAGAGTTCTCTCTGCAGACTCAATTCCTGGAGCACAGGGCCTGATTCAGCTCAGGATCATGGCATAGGGGAAGGGACGTCAGCCTTCCATTCACCATCTTCTTGACCTGCAATGGCCTGAGGGGAATGCTATTTGCCCTGCTGGGGGATTCATGGGTCTGGTGAGATGCACCGAGGCGGCAAACAGTCAACAGTGCCCTCTGGGGTTGATTTGGATCAGACAGCCATGTGTTTGATGGGGGGGATGGGAGGAGGAGATAAACAGCCTCCTGCCACGCACTGCAGTCCTGATCAGAACTGGGTCCTGCAGACTTGGAACTGCATGCACACATCTGTGGGGCCACCACTGCATGGGGGCGTGTGGCTCCAAACAATGCCTAACTCCCAAAGTGAGAGAGAGATCTCTCCACAGGAGATGGAGGTCTTTCCCTCCTTGGTGGGGGGAATGTCAACCACAAAGACGCAGGAGCTTCGTTGTGGGCATCTTTCTGGCAAGCTGGCTGAGATCAACTGGCTCAAAACATTCTGGCAGGGTACTACTGCTTTGTTGCCAGGCGTCGCCAGCAACAGATGGCTTCCGTGCAGGTGACGCGAAGACAGTATAGACTGGCATGAGCTGCATCGCTATCCACAAGGATGGTGCTGCAGTGCCACGGATACCAGCCAAACCCACTCAGGTCCTTGCTGCCCGTTCCCCATATTGGCAGGCCCTCTGCTGGAGCCTTGAGATTCCTGCCAGCCTTTGCCTCCCCGAGATCCCAGGCAGCTTCCCCAGGCTGCTCCTTATCTTTGCCTACACTGGCAGGATGTGTTTAATAATGATATGTTGGCTTTCAAAGATCCATTGTCTAGCCTTGACGGCTAGCCAGGGGGTTGCGCTACAGCCTGAAGCAAGGATGAACCCCTTCGCCCTGGTTCCTGCACCAGGCTCCAGTGAAGCACATGATCAGTCAGTGTTTATTTAGTTTGCCTTAGCTGACCTCTCCCTCCTCGGCTGGCACCCGGGTCACAAGCAGTGTTCCCTCTAAGCTGAGTTAGTGTGAGCCAGCTCACAGTTTTTTAGCCATTGGCTCACACATTTTTGTCTTCACTCAGGAAGGAGGGCTCGAGAGCAAACTAATTTATGCGGTAGCCAAATCGCTCGCTCACAACTTTAATGCCAGCAGCTCACAGGCCCCAGTCACACGGGCCGGATATCGCGCGCGGGGGGGGGGGAGGCGTGGCTAATTGCCCTGGCAGTTTGATCTGCGATTACGCGATCAGACATGCCAGCGGCACACCACGGGTCCCTCCCTCGGCGCCGGCAGGTAAACGAGGGACCGGAGGGGAATGCCGCGCGCCGGCGCAATCACACCACCGGCGTCTGGAGGCAGCCTGTGGCAAACGTTTACTAGTACCTTGGAGGTACTAGTTTTTTAAGGTGCATTGTCAGCGGTAAGCCACGGGTGCGCTCCACTTCCCAGATGCTGGGGTGTGATCGCGCCCGGATAATCCGCCCACCATCCGTGCCTCTCCCGTGGCAACTTTGCCGTGTGACCGGGGCCACAAAGTACTTTTTCCTCACAAGACTCCATAACTTAGAGGGAGCATTGGTCACAAGCCCTTCTTTTCCCCTTTAATATCCTTTAATTTCCTTTAATATCATGCCTGGCTTCAAGCCCTGCTGCAAACTCTGCATGGAAACTGGATTTTTCTAGAAACTGGGAGATTTTGGGGGGGTAACAGCCTAGAAGGAGCACAATAATGAATGGAGGAGGAAGAAGACTCACCTCCGCTTTGTCTGGTAATCCACTGGACTCCACGGCCTGCAGGGCCCCCGCAAGGAAAGTGGATGCGCCTTGGCACCCTTGCAGCAGATGCTCCAGACGCTGCAAGGACAGCAGCAGAGGGCAATGTCTGTCTTGTATTGGTTTTTAAAAAGCTTATATCCCACTTTCCCCACCAACAACAGTGGACCAAGTTGACTCTCTCATCTTGCACACAACACATAGGAAGCCTTTGAGCAACCACGCACCATAGTTTTCACATTCTGTGTCATTGGTATAGCAACCTTTTCTAATTATCTGCGTGAAGCTCTTACAGGGGAAAAAAACCAATGCAGATGTTTACGTATCAGGT